AATGCTTTCATCCGCTGAGCTATGGTGACAATTTATATCCTCTGTCGATAACTTCAACTTCTGTTATAATCTTAACAAATGTACATAAACGGAAATGCTTTTTACCTTTTGTACAGGTATGTGTATGGCTTGAGTGCTATATTAAACATCACCCGTCTTTTATTTTCGCCTCCTCCGTTTTTAGTGTCATTATCTTATTGTACACAAAATTCTACCAATTTTTCGTTTCCAAAAACTTAGTTCATAAAATTTCAGTTTGTGGATACTGTAACTATACTACTTTGCTACCATTAATCTTATTCGATAAAGAAGTAACAAACTCTACCCTAGCTTGAGGCAAAAAAGTCCTGTTACTAATAATATTTCTTTATTTTTTAAAATAATCTAAGTTATTAGATATATTTTATATATACTTCAATTTATAATATCCAAGAAGGGTTGATAAAGAGACCAATAACTATTTTTATTAGATGCCTTTGACTTACTTTTTTAAGTTCTTGCTATTTGCCATACTTTCCTTTTTGACTTTTTGTTTTTATTTGCTATTAAACGTAAATAAGCTCTTATGTTAATCATTTCTAAAGGACCTGTTTTCTCTAATTAGTTTCTCGTACCAAATCTATATTTTGCAGGTCGCATAGGAGAGAAAAAAACGACCTAACCTTTCGAATATATGATATATTTTTAAATTTAGTATTGTTTGTATATTTATAGCTTTAGGAAAAATAAGGTAGTTCTTGTAACTTCTAAAAAAATTTATATTAGTTTTATAAGTAATAAAAAAAATAAAATATTTATAAAGTATTAATGTACTCTAAGTAAACCTTATATATACTTTATGAAAAATTTAGATTAAAGAGTTAGATAAAGGCTTAAGCTTTTAAAGAAATTTAAGTAAAACTACAGGTGGTGGTGTAGCTTAAGACATTCCATAACTATTTCGTAAACTGTGATACCCATTCACTAGTTACAATAACCAGTTTTTCTTAAAGTCATATAGTTTAAATTTAATTATTTATCTAATTTTTCAAGTTACACTTTAAAAAAAATTATAACACTTGTATATATAATAAAGACACATTTCAGAAGTTTTGTTTTATGGTCATAAATAATATTCTATTGCGTAAAGGAATATTTTTTAAGTACTTTCGGAAATTAACTGTTTAAATAATATCTATTTTTGTCGTGAACCAAACATGAAATATATTTAATAGATATACCATACCATAAATATTAAACTTAGAATTTCCTATTAAAGCAAAGCGAAATAAACGATTATTAGTTTAAATAGATTCAAGAGAGAGATATTAATTGGTAAAAAAAACTAAAAGTAAATCTTAAAAGTGAAATAATCACCTTTTTATGTAAAGATATATATAGACTTTAAAAAAAAGCAAAACATATGTACTCACTTTATCTATAACCTTACCTGTGGGTGCTGAATCACAAGTTATGTATTTATAAATCTGGGATTACTCCGTTATGATATTTGGAAAACATTTAAATCCTTAACATTGCTGCTAGGGTTTTCTTGGAAAGCGCAAGCTTCCGACGGCCGAGTTGCACTTTAAACGCACACAGTTTGTATATTTCGTATACCCCTCCACAGATATATATAATACATAAAATGAGGTGATAATTAGCGGAAAGTAATGGCGGAATTCCACAAAAAATCTAAATTATTTACCAAATTAAGTAGTCTGCGTTTGAATACACCGAGCACTGCAGATATTATGAATATAAAATTAATAAAGTAACGACAATTAAAATTTTAACTGGAGACTATAATAATAGAAAAAAAAAGAAGTTATTTAATGTAAAAAAAATTTAAGCAACACAACTTCATAAATTTCATAATTGCAAAGTTTGATTTTTTAATTATACATAGAGCAACCTTTATGCTCGTAGGTAATAAATATTAGATAATACTTAACGACATATAATAATTTAAAAATTAAAATTATCATGGCCCCTTTTACACTGTGAGAAGACTATCTCTTAACTGCATACCTAAAATAACTTAAATAGTGCTACTGATGTAATTAGATTCCTTTCTACGGTATGAAATCCTTGGTACTTTATTGCAAACTAAATGCGTTTATAAAACAAATTTAATAGTAAGCTTCCAACACTTAACAGAAAATACCGCTGCCAAAAAGTTCAGTAGACGAAAAGTTAATGATTTCAATCTTCCTGTAAGCAAATATAGTAACAAGTAGTAAAAAAAGTCTTCGAAGTAAATTTGAAGGGTCTATATTTACTAAAATTAAAAATAACAATACAGGTATATAGTCCCAATGGTTGTATCTTTTAAGGGGTGTTAGAGTATTTAAAACTTTAAGCCTTTAGAAACTTACTGTACACAAATATATATATATATAAGGTACAGATGTACGGACGTGACTGTGACGAATACGCAAAAAAAATTAATGCGACCCTTGTTATTTTTATAAGCGAATGTTTCTTATATGCTAATAATTAAGCGATAAAATAATCTTTAGAACCAATCATAAAAATTGCCTAAAAATGGAGTTAAAAATTATTCCACAACAAGTAGTGGTTTTAGCTTTACTTTAACAATTCGCTATAAAAATAACAAAAATTAAGTAACTAATTTTCTTATTAAAGGAAAAACTCCTGGTATAAATAAAGTATACAGAATGTAAAAGAGGGTTTTAAAATCACTTTATTTTTAATTTCTTTTTATAATAACGCTCTAAAATTTTACTTCTACTTGGTAGTAATGCCTGTTTTACAATATCAAGACACAAACTAAAGCAATTTTTATGAACTGAACGGTAGTACCTCTTCCTACCTGAATAAAATCAAATTACAGAATAACAAGAGTGATCTCCGGCTACACCGTTTTAATACTTAAAACTGTTATTACTAATATAAAAGCTGTCGTACCTAAAAATCATAAAAATGACATAAACTTAAAATTAACATAACTCGGGCAAATAAACTCACTAAGGCCTTGCCCTCCTAAAGCTGCTTTCTAGATTGTCAACACCACCTTAAAATTTCAGTATCTCGTAGGTAATGATTTCCTAAAAGTTAAATTTTTAAGAGAATTAGGAAAAAATTTTACCTTTAAGCTTTTAAAAAATGTTATTTGCACAGTGCAAATATTAATTTTTAATATAATAAATATTAAAAAACAAAATTCGGTATAATAAAAGAAAACTCACCACAATATGTAACAGAAACTTTAGAACTTCAAGGAGGTGTTATGGCAGTTTTTACAGATAAGTTCTCTTCTTACTATCGTTATTTACTTAGAATTTTTAACATCATTACATTAAAAACAATTTACATATCGAAATCTTCGCAAGCTATTGCTTTAAATAGTGAGCACGCGATTAGTGATTCTTCCGATACCTCCTTTTTTTTAATACTGGCATGCTACGGCCAGTCTTGTAATAGACCTTAAACCGCTCGTCCTGTATTCCCCTGTTAAACAGAACTTAAGACAACGGACAACAATGCTCTTAAATCCCGGAAAAGTACAATGTGTGAGTGGTTCTGGAAGAACAGCGAAGAACTAAAAACCTCCTGGAGACACCGACCGCATTGCTGACAGTCAGTTCTCCTCATCTCCCTACCTACAAGGAAGAAAGCCTTTTTACGTGCGCGATCAGGTAAGCATAAATTTCAAAACCCATCGCGCGCTCGGTGATAGCGTGCGCCGTCTCATGATCCCGCTACTAATAAAATGCTGTGTCGAGTAAGCCGTTTGTAGATGGCAATAGCATCGCGTCGAAAAAGGGTAGTTGGAAGCTTAAGCTGAAGTTCTTGATTTAAAACTTCGTTTCTAACAAACCATGGGGCGCCGATCATGACGCCTAGCAGTATGTTTTGTTTCACATGAAGCAAGGAGGCTATGGGCGGTGGGCCGTAGGTCCAAACAGTAGACTAGTGTGTCATGATTTGCCGGATGCACAACACAAACATGTTTCGCTTGTTGGGCAATGGGATTTTGCTTTAGGCACGATATAAAGGACAAGCCGCCTTGACTTTCTATTCGATATAGTTATAGTTGGGCAGCCACGAAAGCTTATTTTTCAGTGATGAATTCCAAATATATCACCTAAATATACCAAAGGGAGCCCTGCCTTCGAAGGAGAGCGGTAGTGGTGGTGCGCTCCTATGAGACAAAAAAAGCTTTTTTATATTCTTTATTTAAATTATTCATTAACGTCGCCATCAGCTGGCGAGTGTCATTAGGGCCTGGCAATTAAAACCGACGACTTTGACAAGGAGTAAATCGCCGTATAATCCGCATAAAAGGCAATCCGCGCGGGTGTGTGTAGGGTAAAAGCACTGCGCCCACACGTGCGCTAAAAATGCATTCCTTAAGTTAATATTTAAGCGCGTTGAAAAGAAGTAGAGAGGAACTCTGACCCGCTAAAAAGATAATAAGCTCAAAATCGACTATTTCTTTTTAAGTTAGTTCCATAGCACACTATCATATTCGAAAAAAAATAGTTCAATTGTTTTTTCACTTTGAATATCCATAAAGTGCTGCAAATAATATTATTTATTTAGGTTTAATTTAAAATAAATAATAAAACCGGTCCCTTACGAATTAAATTTTGAGCGGATATAAAGGTAGGCTTCAATATTTATATTTATAACTTGGGCTGAAATAAATCGCGATCTAATGGAACAAAGAATCTTCTTTAGAATTTTTTTCTTGACTTTTTACAAATTCCTTCAAGAATCACAAAATAAAACCAATTGACATTTGAATTAAACCACGCCCCTTACTTAATAAATCCAGTGGTTAATGTGTCGTATTTTATACAAATTTTTATGAAGACACACAGAGGTGTATATCTTATTATTATTTTAACTTTTATAGTCTAAGTAGCTTAAAAAAAAAGCTTTGCGTTCGTAGTTTACCACGGTTTTGCACATGAACCTTTACGGGAAGGTGAAGGGCTTTGTAGGGTGACCATACACTTTCACATGACGAAAGTTTTTAAAGCACAGCGAAGTTTTTTTGTACTTTTTTGCTTAATAGTTAGTGATGCTGGAGTTTTTTAAGCTAAATTTGCGGTCGATACAGCATTCCAAAACGAGATTACTATTTATGTCTTCCTTATGTCCAGGTTTTTTATCGTATAAAAATAATTAAGTTAACAACCATCTTACTCATAAGGCCTTTATAACTAACTATATTATTTTCTTTTCTGTAATAAATGCTCTGCTTTTACTATAACTTAGAAGGATCACAGCGTAACGTATATAAGATCATTAATGACAATAGAATTATCTTATTTATGAAAGGAGATCCTTTGCATCCTTTGTGCGGTTTTAGCAGAGGTTTTATGAAAATTTTGTTTCACAATTTAATTTTATATAACATTTATAACTTTTATTTGTAGGAGCGGTTCAGATTCTTCAATCATATGGTGTAAATGATTTTAAATACGTCGATGTACTTCAAGACGAAGAAGTTAGAAAAGGTTTTTTTTACTTTAACAAATGCGTTCTAAATAAGTTTTTATAATAAATTATAATTTTAAACGTGTAAAGGCTTAAATAAATAATTCTTAAATTATTAAACAAATAAAATAACTAATATAAATTCTTTCGTCAGAAATTAAGATTTTTAGTCGGTGGCCAACTTTTCCACAACTTTACGTAAACGGTGAATTTATTGGAGGTTTTGATATCTTAAGAGAACTGCACAATTCCAATGAACTTAAAAAGATTTTTGAAAAGGTTTCTTTTAGTTTTACTATCATTTAATTTTTTAAATAATTATTTTGGTTTCAGGTAAAGAATAACAATGAAAGTAAAAAAGCTGACGGGAAGAAACAATAAGAAATCTTTTTTAAAAAAACCATAATAGTAATAAAATTTTTTAATTCCGTTTTTTTGCAAGTTAATCTTTTTTAAAAATGAGCGGGCATACAATTCAGGATTAACAACTTTTGGGAATGGTTTTACTTCAGTTTTGAGCTCGTGCTGAACTTTATACAGAACGGAACCGTTTTCATTCGTTATTAGATTTATAGCGACGCCCATGTGGCCGAACCTACCCGACAGGTCAATTCGGTGGAGATACGTCTCAGAGTTTTTAGGAGAGTCAAGTTTATAACAACGTTGACTTCTCGGATGTCGATACCTCGAGTGAACAAATCAGAACACCCCAAATCCCTGCACGCTCCTGCGATTGGTCGATATCAAAATTCATGAACAGAAAAAAGGTTTATACGCCCAACCTCTTCAGAATTCGTTAAACACCTTATTGCGGTGCTCTTTAAGGCATTTTAGCGTGTATGTAAAGGCACGAATACCCCAATTGCGTAATTTTCCCTGCCAGTAGCTCCACTCGGCGGATGGAGTTGCAGAATAAAATCGATTGGTTGATTTGCAGTTTCGCGAAAAGCGTTTTTAAGCAGTGCACCTTTTTTTTTTCTTCCACATACACTTAATATTGCGTAATTCTTTTCAAAGTTAACTCTTCCATAAGATTGACCTCGTAAGGCTTCTTGCAGAGTGAGAAGGCGGCCATGTCCAATAGTATTAAATGAATAGAAAGGAAACCTCCAGCATATGCTTGTCTTTAAACTGCTTAGCAGTTACAGGAAAAGTCGAGAAAAACATTAACAACTGCCGTCTGCTAGACATAAAAGCCAGAAGCTTCTCCACAGTAGCAATAAGGTTTTCTGATAATAATTTTTCTCCTTCGTTAAGGACAACCATCTGACAACAGCTTAAAAGAAGGTCACGCCTTTTTGCGTTAAGCCCAGCAACGTGCAGGCGTGGAAACCAAAATGTGTACCGATTGTTAACAATAAAAATTCTGAAAAACTTAAAATCAAGGATAAATGATGCCTGTTTCATAAAACCGCATAATATTCTCATTTATACTCAACCTTCCAATAGAAACCATTACATGAAGCTTCGTATGTGCTGAGCACCAAGCAAGACTGTGGCGTTTGCAAAGCGAGCTCCTGAGAAGGCACAAGGATAAGTGCCTGTATATAAATCTTTAGCATCAATTTTTTCTAACACCGGAATGAGATAAGCTGCTGTTCTTCTATTGCCTTATAATAGTAGGTAGCGCATATAAGCTATAGTACACTCAAAATTATTATAGCAATTATTTTTACCATTCTTTGCAGTCAAAACACCAAGACCAGCTAATATAATCAGAATACTTTCTTCTTGAATAGAAAAAGGGCATTCATAGCCCTTAAAATATCCGAGTAACACGATATAGTTAAAAGTATTGAAACATCTAACATACAAAGCCGACTTTAAAAAAAAATTATACCTTTTCATAAATTCCTATAAGTAACTCTCTTTTTAAATAATAATCTTCAAACTTGGTTCCTTTGATTTTAGTTACATCTTCAGTCTTGGGACAATTATCTTTAGCAGGGATAGTAAGCTGGATTTCAATTCAGGACCACGTTTGTTTTGGGCTGTATACATTCGGGGAACAGACCGGATATATTAATATCTTCTTTCTTAGAAACACCATTAAAAGAATTTAAATCTTTATTTTTTTTTATAAAATTAAAATTCGAAGGGCTTATGCTGTCAACAACCCTTCTTCTATTCCCAGTTTTTTAAATTGTCGCAAATGTATTTTTGTATGAAATGAAACAATTAGATTTGTATATAATTGTTTAGATGTAGCCTTGTAGGTGCTATAGTTCTGCATATTGAAACATATGAGTTCGGTACATGGGCGAGTAAAAGAAGGAGCATGAAATGAATAAATCCCTTGAGGGGAATTATAAAGTTGGTAATTCTGTTGTGAATAAATATTTGTTGGATAAAATGGTTGCTTAAGGAGAAAGGAAGGAGGCAAATGTTTCTGAAACTAATACATAAAATTTACTAAATTAATAAAATGAAACCCGTATAACATAAGTCTGCCCTTTGGTGGGTTGATATGGGGCGAAAGGGCCTACAGGTTGACAAGCATAATTGGATCTATAGGAAAAAAACTGCCGTCAACCGGCTGAGTTATACAAAAATTGAATGGCGCGGGAATGTAGGTTCCAGTCTAATAGTGGGTTTCTGTAAACTAGATTAAGGAGTCTGTCAGCCTATAGAGTTCATCTCAACAGGAAAACGACGTAATAAATGGTTTATATTAATATATAAGATTTCTTTGAAATAGGATAGATACACCAGAAAATTGTCCAACTACACAAAATTTTCTTTTATAGTTTAATAATAAATATTAAGGAATAAACCCAAAACAAAAGTTATGTAAATATATAGAAGTATAATAAGGGGGCACGCAAAGTTAAGCATATACAAAAGCTCACGATAATATAATATATAGAACTATAGCCTAAAAGAAAGGTTAAAATTTATATATCAAACTACATGTACGTGTAACACGTGCGCGCTCTCAGCATGCTCCGCCTCTCCTGAATTTTTTTGTTAGATTTTTTGCCACGCCAAAAAAAGTAGGTACCCACCTCAAAAGGGCGCGAATCCCCCTTATTTAATTCAGTGATCTACATAAACAAAGTTCATATTTTAAATAACCTTTGTCCAAAGTTAGAGACAACTCAAACAGGAGCAATTTGGACCCTTAATATGTTAGATTTTCCACCACACCAAAAAGTGGACGCCCACCTTAATGGGACAAATAATCATTAATTGAAATATCAAGTCCAATACTCTAAAATATGCGAGGCTAATCAATGTGAGTATATTCTAAAAATAAGCGTTTTATAATTGTTACCGCTATATTAAGAGATTTGCAAACTCTTTTTAAATAATGTTCAACTGTTTTAAACTTAGTTAATATTTTACATAGCTGAAACCCTATTTTAAAAGTTAGTAAATAGTATTTTATAAAGCTATAGACACTTTAGGCTAGCTCTAAAGTTAGGTGATGTGATAGTTATTCCTATAACTCTTTAATTAGAATGTTAAAAAAAAAAAAAGTTTTCCTCTTTTCTTGTATTATATAACTATAGCCTCCGCTAAAAGGTAGCGAAGGTTAAAAATACTTGTTAACTATTAATTCAGTTACCCGCCATATACATAAACTTAAGGACACTACTTTAACCACTAAACCCGCCCTCACGCAAGCTCAGGTGAACACAAATATGGCTGGTGAGACCCTCGCAGAGAGTTTCCATATTACATTTAGGCGCATGCTACGAAACATCTCGGACGTTAGAAACATATCAAAGTGTTCCCTTAACACAGTTTACGAAACAAGGAAGGCTAGATAGGTTTTAATGCAAATTAAATTGTTTGGGCTAAGAAATTTTCAGTATGCATTAATAAAATGCCATGGTTGGTCAATAAAAAAAAAATCAAATAAGAAAACAGTATTTTCGCTAATAAACTTATAAGGTAGTTTACACACGATTAAGAGTAATCACAAGTATACTTTAAAAACTTAGACATACAAACACTACTACAGGAAATAGAAGTTAACTAAAATTATAACTTTGAAAGTTAAAAAAATTATAATAGTTGTTATAATAAAGCAATGATTATAATATTAATAAACTAACTAATAAATAATAGAAACAATAAATTTTTTATATAAATAGTTAATTAGTTATTACAACTATGAACTTAAAAAAAAAAGTCAAGCAATAGATTAGGCTTTGCACACTCGAAGTTAATAGTTCTGTTGAAATCCTCAAGACGAATAACATATTTTAAAGTTAATCCCCAAATTTTAAGTTCTTAAAAATAATTCAAATGATTGTTAGACTTGAAAGTTTTTCCTACAATTTCTCTATAAATAATATATTATTTTTTTTAGTGGGCTTAAGCTTTTACTTTTTTTCCGTAATATTTTAGCTTGTTTCTCCTACTACTAAATATATATAACTGCACTCGCAAAACTGATGTCTTTCTCGTAACTTTACGCAACTTTCATATCGTTATTATACTTACTTTTTTTAAAAATGGTTTTATATGAGAGGAATTATAACACATTGATTTAAAGTTAAATAAGCTAAGTATGGGTAATGGAGCGCCATCGTTTTTTCAAAAACATTTAAGGGGAAGGGGCGACCTAAACTTTTTATCACGCCCTTTAAGCATTTATAACTAGCATTAACCCCCAGTGAGGTCAATAGTATTTATAAAGTTACGAATGAAAGAAAACAGAGTGTAGTTTTTAGTTCTTTCAATTCTGAAATAATTTTCTTGTAACAACATAATTTTAATTGCTAACAGAGTCCAAAGACAAAAAAGCTCCGTTAAAGCGTACTAGCTTGATGAATTTATTGTGTCTCTAGAGGTCAGTATTTCTCTGGTTGCAGTTATATATGAAAAATTCGAAAAACTAGCTGTTACAAACTATAAACTAACAGCATATTGAGATCAATTCAAGTGCCTTATATACTTTGTATCTTTAATATTTTTATAGACTCAAAATAACGCCTTTTTTAAACCATTTTTTACCACAGAAATATGTAACAGTAAAGACAAGTAGACAGTAAATTATGGGAAAAGTCCGACAAGCAACAAATTTGATCTTTGTCAAAGTGTTAAAGTTAGGGTTAGTATATAAACCCGGAACACTGTGCCTTCAAGTTTTTGTAAAATTTTCTGTATATATTTATATACATAAAGGACAGCTAGAGGTACGTGGCCGGAACTCTAGTGCAAAAAAAATAATAAATGCGACTGCTTGTTTGCTAAATGAGATATTTTTTATTACTCATAATGAAGCGCCAAAGCGAATATTCAACTGTCATGAAAACTGTTTAAAATGACTTAAAAAAAAAAAATTATGAACGGGGAAGCTAGTTATAAATATTTACTAAATTAATGGCTTCACCTTCTACGCAATTTATACCTATCTGAACATTATTTTATAATTACTTTCAGGAACTAAAAATAAAAGAAGCTATAACTAGTGTGTCCCATTGTAGCAGAATTCAATATAGCGTATCAAAATCTATGTAAAAAAGTTTATTTTGAGACGAAAAGTAGTGCCTAGTATTTTATATTCATGAGAGTTACATATCAAAAAATTAACTTTTCAGTTAAATATATGGCGCCCTTTAAGGAATAGCTAAGTAACATAAAAAAAACAGATGTGGGAACGTTTCTTAACTTTTACTTTAAACTTTTTTAAAATAATTACGCAGAGCAAGCGAGATGTACAGCGTTAACTCTTCTTAGCCTAAATTACATATAGTTTTTACCAAAAGTAAAGTACAATGGGGAAAAAGTATTATCCCTTAGCTTCCCTTTCTCGACCTTTCATACAAAGTAGTCAACTGTGTACGTTATTCTTTCTTAAGCCAAAATACATATGACTTAAGTAAAAATAAACACACTGAGCAATCCCTTTGAACTTTTTTTATAATACCCATGCAAAGTAAGCATTAAGATGTATACCGTGTACCCTTCTTGGGCTAAAATAAATAAAACTAAAAAAAAAAAGAGGCAAACAGTGTATTCCTTTTGGCAAACCCTTAAACTTTTTTATAGTAAATATGCAGAGTTAGCAATATGTGCACCACCACCCTTTCTTTGTCTAAATAAATAAAACTTTTAAAAAAGACGCACCGGGCTTATCTTTTTAGCTTTCCTTTTAAGTTTTTTACAGTAATTAGGCAGAGTAAGCGATGAGATAGTACGCCACTGAGTTTTCTTAAGTTGGAATAAGTTAAACTTAAAAGAAAGAGGCACAAGGGGTTTTTATTTTAGCTTTCCTTTTAAACTTTTTTAAAGTTAGTATGCATAGAATGTACTCTATTAACCAGTCGGCTAAGCTGCATAAACTTTTGAAAAAAGAGTGGCATACTATAAAGCATCTCTTTTAGATTTCCACTAAACTTTTTTAGAGTAACTATGCAAAGTAAGCAAAGAATGATTAAACATTCTTGAGCTAAAACAAATAATACTTTTATATATAGGCACAATGTGCATTCTTTCTTTTGCTTTTTTCCCAACTTTTTTAAATAAGTATGCAGAATTATTGCTAAGTACAAAATTAACCCTTCTTGAGCTAAATTACACAAACTTTTAATAAAAAAAGCAAAATTTCTTTATATTTGACTTTTATTAATTATTAATATTTATTATAATAACTTTATAAGTATTTCATTCAAATCTTATTTAATTTTTATTCCTTTCCTATATTTTTAATATTTATAACTTATTATTATTAACATTTATTAACTTTTATTATCTTATTAATATACATAATAACTTTTTTAGCTTTCTTGCTTAATAAGTAGCCGTTCCTCTTTTTTCATATAATACTGAACCATTTAATAAGCATTTTACTTTAATATATTTATAAATCATAATCAGCTTAAAAGATAAACAGCTTTATAAAAAGTAAACACGCAACAGAACTCAACAAAACTTTTTCCCAATACCGCTGAAAGTGTTAAACAAGAAGAGTTCAACACTTCGCTATAATAATATTTTTTATTATTTTATGAAGTGCTTCACTGCTCCACAATTCAAATTTTTTAATCATATTGAGCCATCAATAACGCCTGAGTCCGAATCCGTTGGTTATACAATTCTCTATCTTTACTTTTTAAATAAAGGATAACGAGTAAATAACTTATTAGAAACTTTTAATATACATACAAGTTAATATAAATTTTGAAGGCACTAGACATACCGTTAAATTACAGTAATAAAAATTTAATAGTTAATTATAAAATTATTTTAAGAATTTGAAAAATTAATAATATTCTGTAAATATGTTTAATAATTATAATATATATTATAAGAACGTGTATTGTTCATATGCAACGGCTTGAGCCGGATCTCTAGCATTCGGTTCTTCTAAAAGAGCTTGAATTCCCAATAAAATCTTTAAAATTTTATTTATAATATTAAAAATAAGCAACAAACTTTCATAAACTTTAACTCGTTAAAGTTATTTAGTAGACAAAGTCATAATTATTAAAAATAATAATAATAAAATATATTATTTTAAATTTTTGAATTATTATTAAGAAGAGAGCAAAAAAATAATAAAAGTGAAATTATTTGTTATAAACCACAAGCAAAAGTTGATAACAATATAGTGAATATACTCAATTCTTATAATAATAAAGATAATAACAAGTAAAAAAAATATAAATCAAAACTGTTTATATAATATATCTTTAACTTTTTATAATAATGATGATACAAAATAACTTTTATTACATAATAATGAGTATAATAATAAACCTGTTATAAAAAAATAAGCACAATAAGTTATTATTGTTATCATATAACTTGCTTAATAGTAACTGCCGGGCGCCAGTCCTTTTCGGCGTTAAGTAACGACAAGCAAACCGTTCCGGAAGGAAATACGTTCGGATGGTAGATTGGCGGGTTGAAGCGGCAATTAGGCGGCATGGACGGATAATCAGGTCCAAAAGTAACGTCTAATCGGTACATTCCGCCCTCCCATAGGGTCCCTTTGCGGCCGGGGATGCCTTCATAATAGAAAATTTATGAGATTTTTATTAATAATATAAAAGAAAAGTTAATAAAAGTATATGTACTGTATATTTTTTTTATAGACCTTTCAAAATATATAAAAATATTGAGAAAAGTTTTAAAGAAAAATAAGTAAATATTATTTTTAAAAAAAGTTCGATTATAATAAAAAAGTTTATTAAAAAGGTATAAAGTTTCAGGAAAAAAAATATTGTACAAAAAAAATTAATTCAATATAAATTATTATTAATAAAAGTTTGAAAAATAAAAGTTTAGTAATTATTATTAGATATTATAGAAAAAGTCTTATTAAAAAAGGATGTTTATAATAAAGAAGAATACAAAAGTATACTAAAGTTTTTTTTAAAATAAAGAATATTTATATATATATAAGTACTAAATATTATTTTTAATAAAAGTTTTAATAGAGTTAATAAAAGTATATTTAAAAATGTAAACTTTTTTTTATATGATATAAATATAAGTTTAAACAATATCATTATATAATAGTTTTAAAAATATATTTAAAAAAAATTTTAATAAATATTATTACTAATAAAAGTTTCGATAATGTTAATAACTATTTAATAAAAGTTTTAAAAATAAGTATATTATTAAAAATTAAACTGTTATGATAAATAAGTATATAAAAGTATATATAAACTATTATATATATATATATAATATATATAAAGTAAAAAAAGACTTATAAAAAAGTATATAAAAGTATATTAAAATATTTTATTATAAAAATAAGGGCAATAAATATTATTTTATTATAAGTTTCAATAAAGTTAATATTTTATTATAGTCTTATAAAAAAACGTATAATTATAAAAAAAAAAACATTAAAAAAAGTATATAAAAGTATACGTAAACTTTTTTATGTATGTAATAAAAAAAATAAATCAATAAATATAATTCTTAAAAAAAGTTTTAATAAAGTTAACAAAAATTCAATAATTATAATAAAAGTATATTTATAGTAAAAAACATTGTAAATTGTATTAAAATATATTAAAGTTATAAAAAAGTTATTTATAGAATATATAATAAAAAATATATCGAAATCTAAACATTTTATTTTTAAAAAGTTATAAAAACATTTTAAATATAAATTCAACTGTTTATTATTAAAGTTTTAATAACTTTAATAAAGATGTTATGAAAGTTTAATAAAAGAAGTATTATTTACAATAAAAAAATTATATAAATTACATTAAAATTTGATTTAATATAAAAAAAAGTTATTTAAAATTTTTTTAATATTATTAGTAAGGCATATTATTTTATTTTTACTTCGATTATTTTATTCTATTATTTTATAAAAAAACTTTATACTTTATTGTACAACTTTATAATTTGTTTTAATTTTAAAAGTAATTTACTTGGTATTATTCATCTTATTTTATTACTTTCTTTTTTCAAATATATAAAAGTTTTAAAGTTTCTTATAATTATACTTTATTACTTTAAATTCTTAAAAAAATATTTTCTTAAAAAAACATTAAAAAAAAAAAAAATAAATTTTATTTTAATGTAAATTCATATAAAAAGAAATTATTTATAATTATTGAATCTATTTAAATAAAAATTTTTAATAGTAACTTGAAAACCATCTTAACATTAACTTTTAATAATCTATAAAAAAAATTATTAAATTATTATAAAAAAAAAATTATAAAAAAGAGCAAAAGAAGAAAATTATAATTTTTAAAATTCTAAAAAAATTTAAAACTATAAAAAACTTAATTAATATATTTTTTTATAAATATAAAATTTATTAAATTAATAACAAAAAATTTAGAGGTATTAAAATTTAAGATTAAGGCAAAAAGTTAAATACTATAAAGGCTTTTTGATTATATAATAAAAATAAAGTATCAGTTATAAATAATAATTTAAAAACAAATAAAATATTCTTAAATATTTTTGTTAGTAGTTTTTAAAAAACTTTAACAACGAAAGAAGTTACCACATTCCCAAGCGAATAAATCAAAACCTCTCCCATCGCTGGAAACTTTTGGTCTTGCATAAAATCCCTTTTATATACATATAAAAAAGTTTGTTACACTAAATAAAATAAAAATAAAAATAATTCAAAAATCTTCTATACAAGAAAATTACCAAAAAAAACATTATAAACAATGTTATACAAGAAAAAAAAAATTAATAATTAAATCTTTTATGCAAGAAAAATAAACTAAAAAAAAATTTAAAAATCTGTTATACAAGAAAAAAAAACAAAAAAAAAAACAATTTAAAATTTGTTATGCAAGAAAAAAAATTCAAACATGTGGATGATCCTTTCTCCAATTCTTCCTTTCTTCGAGTAGTCTTTTATAAGCAATCCCAGAAGTGTCTAATTTTTCCATTTACTAGTTTTTTTTTTTTTTTAAGCAGTAATAAAAATCAAGAGTCGTTATTAGAAAAGTAAAACAATAAACAAAAAGACGAGAAAAAGATTTTAAAATTTCACCAAGTAATCCCTTTCGCCTTCCAAACTTTTCAACCTCAAACAGATAAGCATGCCACTTTTAACTATAACGGAGCTCAGCTGAATTTTGCCTCATCAGTTTTTTGTGAGTGTACTTTTATTAAGTTGCTTATTAGCAAATAAGTTGGTTTCAAACTTTTATTAGTGTTCCGTGTAATTTTATTCATATATCTGCAAACCTAATAAAATAAATTTATTTATATAAAATACTAATAAGTACGTGTGTTTATTTTAAACTTTCATCAGAGTTCCTTACGGACTTAATCATGTTAAAGCAAACCTGATAAAATAAAGTTTCTTATAAGTAAAACCTATTATTTAAACTATTCTATATTCATTGCAAATTCATTTACATAATGCCACTAATAAGTATATGTTTATATAAAACTATTAGAAATTCATGTCAATTATATCACTGCAATTTTTAATTATTAGAACCATATATTCAATGTAAATTTATTTATATAACGTTACCATAAGTATATATGTTTATATTTAACTTTTATTAAAGTTCTATATTATCTTAATTAATTCAAAACAAATTAGCGTCTATGAATTTCCTTATAAATATGTTAATTTTAAATTTTTATTAGTGCTCCATACTTTTTAAATATAACAATGCAAACTTTATAAACTAAATTTACTTATAATTAAACATGTTTATTAACAACTCTTAGTTTTCCAATTTATTTTAATTATATCATTGCATATATATTTATATAAAGTTACTTATAAGTAGTTATGCTTATTTAAAACTATAGCTCCATACTATTCCATACATCTGCAATTTTATTTACACAGTTATTTATAAGTAAATATGATTATTTTAAACTCTATTTATTGTGCCATATAATTTTAATATGTTCTTACAAATTTCACAATATGAATTTACTTATCGCAAATATATTGATTTTAAAATTTATTTCGTGTGCCATATTATCTATTCCCATCAATGCAAACTAGTTTATGTAAAGTTATTTTAAGTAAAAGATGAATATTTAAAACAATAAAATTTCAACTTTTTCTAATCTTTTATTGCAAACTAATCCAAATAAAGTTACTTTTAAGTAAATTTTTATATATTAAAAACTCTTGCCCGTGTTTATAACTAATTTTTAGGTATTTTACTACCAAAGTAATATAAAAAGGTCTGACAACGATAGCACCGGCCAACGCGATTACTTTTCCGAAGTCCCTTTACTCGGATTTGCAGATGAGAGTTAGTCTTCAGTCCTAACACCTTTTGTATCTCATTTCTAGTTATGTACTAAAACTAGTGGTAATGAACGCTTCTTACGTCTGCCATTTGAAGATGTCCTCCGTGTGCATTCGCGCAACTCGAAGGGGTGTGCCGCCCTGAACGCGCAAATCCCCCTCAACGGTTAAAAGAACGAGCTCACAGTAAATCCCTAGGAGGACGAATTCAAAGTCTTTTCTTCAGGTAGTTGATATGTAAACAACTGAAACTCCTGAGTTCGCATGATCGCTGTTATTGAGCGGTAATCGTTAGCTGTCTTAGGAAATATCTTGATTCCAAGGTGGATATCTTTGACCCCGGGATATTTATGCCGGTGGTTTGCAAAAGATGGATTAGAAAGGGACCCTTGTTTTTCGCCTAGGGTAACGGGAGGAATCTTTCTTTTACGAGGCCCCACTTCATTCGATCGGCCAATTTTCTTAGGAGCGCTGCCAGAAGCACTACCCTTCTCATTGTCTACGTTGTGCTGTAAATCTTTTAAAAGCTTTTCCTAGTCTCCGTTTACTTTTCACTACTCTCATAACTCTTATCTAAACTATTATAAGTTATATTACCACCATGATAATAAATTATTACTAAAATTTTTACCACTACTTAAATTATTAATATTACTAATAGTGTGGTCGTTCCGGCTATATTATTAATAGAACGCTATTATGAGAAGTATTAATATTACTACCACTACTACTATTACTACTAGAACCTACTTAACCTTTAAGAGTTTGATTTCCGGTTAATTGTAAGTTCACGCTTTCTTCTAATATTTCAAAAGTCCGGGACTGATCTAGAATTTGTAAAGCCGTGTAACCCTTAGTCATTATACCAACAGACCCTTTCGTGCTCATTGAGTTTATCTTTGGTAGAGTCTAACTCTCTTCTGAGTTCTTCGTTGGCAGCTAAATACAACAGCGATCAAGGTTCACAGCTCTTCTTCATTAAAGGGACCCAATTTAAAAAACAGATAAAACGTAGATAAATGAATATAATAAAGAGAAAAGAGTTTATTAATTATAGTAATAATAATAAATTATATATAATGTTATAATAAGCTTCAACAAATCTCAACCGTAGTAAAAAGTAGTCGAGGTTCACAGGCCTCATCCATAAACGCCAAGAGGGTTGTGTGTGACCAAAAAAAAGGGAATTCACTATTGCATACGATACAGTTATTTACACTAAATATGATTTTTCTATTAATACTTTATATCGATTATCGAAAAGTATACTTTTTATATTTACTATTTACATTTGCTATTAAAACAACTATATTTTTTTTGTATCTTCTTTTTTAAAAAAAACATAGATTACGACCCATAATTAATTAATTAAATACTACTCCTCATCTCGTACGTTAACTTTATTTTAAAAACTTTGCGGTGGGAAAAATTAAGGCTACTATGGATATATTTTATATAATTTATTGTAAACTATTAAAAAATATAAATTGTTAAACTTATTATATGGATTTATTTTATATAATTTATTGTAAACTGATAAAAAATACAAATCGTTAAACTTATTATTATATGAATTTATTTATGTCACTTTATATAACAAACAATGTAACTTATATAACTATTAGTAATATTACATATTCATAAATATTTATTATAAAGTGATAAAAAAAAATAATTTGTAAAACTTATTATATTAGTTTATTTATGTTACATTATTTTATATTGTAATTTTATATAATCTTTTTAAATTAAATTTAAAAATATATTGTGCTTCTAAAATTGATAAAGGAATAAATCTTCTATAAAAATGCAGTGATTTGTATTAAAGAAAGGATTTTATAATATTGGCCTTTAAAATTTTATTAACAACTAAATTTTTTTTTTTTTTCATTAAAAGTATAATTTATTGAATAAAAATGAGTTTTATAATATTGGCAGTCTAAATTTATTAACAACTAAATCTTCTATAGTTGCAGCACTTTAAATTAATTATAATATTGGCTTTTAAAATTTAAAAACAATACAAAATTTAAAATGCAATAAATTAAAATAACAAAATTGAGTTTTCTAAAGTATTGACCTTCTAAAACTTATTTTGACCACTAAATTTTCTATAAGAGAGTTTATTATAAAAACTGAGTCTATTACTAGATTAGCAGTCTAAAGCTTATTAACAACTATATCTGCTATTAATGCATTAATTTAAAATGTTGACATTCTAAAATTAATTATCAATTAAATCTATAAATACAATTATTTATTAAAAAATTGTTTTTATTATAACATCGGCCATCGAAAACCTATTAACCACTAAATCTTCTATTGAAGTAGTATTTGAAATAATAAAAAATTGGCCCTCTAGAAGTTATAACAACTAAATCTTCTTTTAAAGCAGTAATTTAAAATATTTAAATATTGGCCATCTAAAATTTTTAAACAACCAACTCTTTTAAATTTGCAATAAGAGAATAACAAAAGTGAGTCTCTTAAAATATTGGTCGTCGTAAAATTATTTTACAACTATAATTTCTATAAATGTAATAATTTATAGTGAAAAAAAGAGTTAATTATTAAACTGGAATTCTAAAATTTATTATAACTAAATCTTCTATTGATGAATATTTTAAAAATAATTATAACAATGGACTTCGAAATTTTAGTAACATATAAATCTATAAATGCAATAAATTATAATAAAAAAATGAGTTTATTATAATATTGACATTCTAAATTTTATTAACAACTAAATCTTCTGTATATGTAATAATTTATAATAATAAGAATAATTTAAAAAATATTAAACAATTTTTATTTTATTTTTACTAGTAAAATCTATTCCACGTGTTCATCGTATAAATCGTCAATGTTCACAACGATCCAATCATCTGAAAGATCAACTGGCCTTTTCAATACAAACACCTAAAGAAGATCAAATACTAATAATAACGAAAGTAAATATTTAAATAAATATTATAAATAATAAAAAATGATAAACAATAATAATAATTAATAATTAATAACAAGAAGCCATATGTATTAAAATAAATTATCCTAAATGATAAATAATAATCAATAAATAATAATAATAAATAGATATTATATATTAAAATAGATTATAATAAATTATAAATAATGAAAATAAATAAATATTAAAATAAATTATAATGAATAACAATAAATAATTAATAATAAAATTATAATAATAATAATATATATATTAAGTATTATAATAAATAATATTAATACTAAGTATTAAATAAGAATTTTAGTAAAAAAAAATAATAATAAATAAATAATAAATAATCACAGTAATAATAAAAAATAAATATGAAATATTAAAATAAATTATAATGAATAATAATTGATAATTTAATAATGAATAATGAACAAATAATAATAAATAATAACTAATAGACTAATATAGGATAAATAATTAATATTAGCATAAATAATAAAATAAGTAAACAATAATAAATAACAATAATAAAGGCGCCTATAAAAAAGTAAGTAAGAAAAATTAATATATATTTTAAAAGATGAAAAATTAACTAATAATTATATATAGCATTTTTAATAATTCATGTAATAAAAAAGATTAAATTCACTAAATTTTGTTTTGTATAAGTATATTTACTTAAAATAATGAATTTTAGTTTATGATTTCGATTTAAATTTTAACATCTAATATATAATATTATATTTATTTATTGTTTATAATTTATTATCAACATTTTAATGAAAATAGTTTATAATAACGAATTTTATTTTATTTATTAGTAAACTTTTCAAAAAAAACATTGATTTTACAATAACTCGTTTTTTTGGCTACAAATAACCCCAATTGTTGGGTTATAAACTTAACAAGGCTTTTATTTTTGTAAAAAAAATTAATATAAAAAAAATATTCCTGAAAGAAATCCCCAACTGTTGGGGGCACAACAATTCATTATAAAGTGATAATGTAAAAGTCATCTAATATTAAGAGACAAAAAAATCGCGCATTTGGTAAGTTTTATAAAAAATATAAAAACTTTTAGTGAATAAAAGTACCCCAACAATTAGACATAAAGAAGTATACAAACCAAAAAAATATTAAGAGCTTACATTATACTTTACAAAAAAAAATTCAGTAAAATTATTTATAAAAAATCCAACAACAAAAAAAATTACTTAAAAAAAAATTTATTGAAATTTATAATAATAACATTGCAGCTGGCTAACTTTTATATATAAAAAAAGGGCATAAATTTTAAGGAAAAAGAGACCGATTAAATTAAGATTTATATTTTATTTTTAATAAGTCAATAAATATATATTAAAAAAAAGACAAAAAGATCAAAAAAAAATTTAATAGTGAAACTTGCTCGTCCTCATCATCGTCAAGAGAAGTAGTAGACACCACAAGCACGTGGCCCATTTCAGACCTTTTTAATAAAAATGTTATTAATCGGGTAATTTTTGTACTAAAATGCGACTATTAAAACCAAGAAAGGCGCCATATGATTTTATTGGGTATTTTTATATCATTGCATTTCCATTCGTCATTTATGGAATCGAAGTATAAAATCCAAACCATTCCAATATCGTGATCCTAAACTCACGAATAACAACGAAATAAAATATGAAGTGTTATAAAAAATATATATTTTTTAAAATTTAGGATCATAAAAATTATTAGAATTAATAAATATTATAGTCGAAACCATTCCGCAAGCACCAATCATTGGTGGAGAAATTTTACAAGGAGAGTAAGCAATATCTTGGATCCAATAGTTGTCGAGCATACGATAATGCGGATTTAGATTTACGGTTGAATTTCCTCTGATAAAAACATTGAAAAAGTTTGGTCGGCGAGGGTGAAGGTTTAAAAAAAAATAACCAATAAAAAATAAATAAAGATATAAAGAATTTTACTAAAAAAATTATTTTGCGAGTAATTAAATGATTAATCATGACTGCCAAATAAAAAATACGTAATATGTACACTACAAAAAAATTAATGAAAAATTAAAAATTTTTTAAAGAAAGAAAAAGGGTTGAGGAAATTGAAGAAAAACGTAATGCTACAACATTTAAAATTACGAATAATATAACTTTTATAAAAAATAAGACGTATTGGGCAGTGGTGACCTAACAGTACATAATTAGCGGATTGTTTGCAATGCAGTGAAAAAAATGGTAGAAAGAAAGTTGTATTAATAAATAAATAGAAACTATACTTTTCTAGATAAAAACAGAAAAATGTTATCATAAAAAGCTTTAAGATTTTTAGAAAATCTACAAAAAATATAATGACTTTATAATGTTTATGAGTAACTTAAAGAAATGTTCTTTTTATTGGTTAATCTTGACATAAAAATATTCACAAATAAAAAAAGCTTAAACCGCAGTAGCCAATTAAAAAGTATAGAAAGCATTCACATGTTTTTCAATGTAAACTGTATTCTTTACTGCAGCCAAGAGCAGATGTTACCATTGGAGAGACCCGCCAATAATATGCTTTGAATTTTTGATGAAACAATACTCGTGCTTAATCGGCTACCAAGTAGTAAAAACTTTTGTTAAACGACACCAAAATTTAAAAAGTAACAATATATTTTATAAGTGTTTCAACGTGGACTTAAAAGGCCTTCTTTGTAATAAAAAAGGACTTATTTCCTCAATATAAATATTTTGGAATATCTTAAAGTGCCATTAAGAAGAAATTTAAAGTAACGAATTAAAAATTTTAAATTCATAATTTTTGAAATCAAATAAAAAATATTTTTTTATATTTTATTATTATATAAAATAGTGAAAGATATGTGGTTTCTGATTGGACAAGAGACGGTAAAGCAGGGTTTTAATAAACTGCTCTGCACATTATTAAGAGCAAGATTGTCATCATAGAAAGTAATTAATTATAAAAGTGAGACTTTCAAATTTTCTAATGCTCATTGGCTGCTATTCATTTTAACACGGCACTTATATTGGTAATAAAAGTCAATATATTTTTCATGATCATTTCATTATAATTCTCGACTTTTAACAAACCCTACCAATCACAGGAATTAAAAAGTATAAAAGAAAAAATAATGAAATTACTTATTTAAAAAAAGGCTTCAAATAAAAGTAATTAATATAGCACAACTCTTATTTTTTTTTTAATACAAACCATATAATAACTAATAAATTATTAAAACTTCCAGTTTTTGCTACTAAACAGGTTAACGTGTTGTATACACCCTCGTGCTTTTTTTATTAAAATTTCTTTAAGGAAAAGTTCAGCAAATGTAAAACTTAAAAGACAGTAAATTTAACGAAAGGAAGAATAATAATTCGAACAATAATAAATACATATAAACTTTAAAAGTAATATTAAAAAAAAGTTTTATATAAAGAAAAAAAAAATAAATAATAACTTTTCTATACTAAAATAATAATAATTAAACAACACTACGATATACAATTCTTTCACGTGGTATAATAACCATCCTCAAAGCAAAGAGCACCCAGTATACAAAATTGCACCAAATAATGTGTTATAAAATTCAAGTTATAAAAAAATCCACTAAAAATTTTACAGCTCGTAATATATCATAACGCCGTTGGACGAGGCAATCGCTATGTGGAGACCCAGAGGGGACCAATCAACGGCGTTGCAAGAAGATGTCGAGCAATCAATTGAAGAAGTGTTTATAATAGACAAGGAAAGATCTGTACAATAATAATAGTAATACTAATAGTATATAAAAAATAATAATAATAATTAATAATAAAAAGACACCGTTAAACTTATCGTTCACTAAAAACTTATAGAGCTTAGCAACGCCAGAAGCCAAAGAAAATGCTAAATAGAGCTCATCAGGCTTGGAAAATTCGGTGTAAAATGGCGCCCATTTTACGCTGAACGCATAAATTATAATGAAAAAAGAAATCAATAAATTTTGCGTGTCTAAAAAATAGTTAATATATAAATAAAAGTATTATAATTTACTTTTTTAAAATTAAATAAATTCTTAAATTTATAATTACTAAAATTTTTTTGAAAAGTGATATAAACAAAAGAGTAATAAACTTCAGAAAATAATATATAAGATAAATAAAAAGCCTAAATTTAGTTATAGAATTAAAATTATTATAATTAAAACAGAATTTATTGTTCAACTATAGATATTTTATTATTTTTACTTTTGATAATCAATAAAATTCATTTAGAAAGAAGAATATAAAAATATATAAAAAAACTAAAAGAAATAATAAAAAGTAAATAAAAAAATTTTACCAAAAAAGTATAATATATAAAAAAATTATTAAAAAAAATTAAAAAAAATTATATAATTCAATAAAATAGAATTACTTTAAATTTCCTTTTAAAGAGTAAATCTTACAACTTTTTATTATTTATTACCATATTTTACTGTTATTATTACAATTTTTACTGTAAACTTCAATGAAGCGCTAAACAACAATCAATCAAAGTAAATAACCACGTGACCGCGCTCCCGTTTTCTATAGTCCACGCGCAAAACCAATCAAAATGCGTATTTTCATTACTTTCTCCATTTTTGAAATCAAACGTTAAAAGATTTCTTTTTTGCGCCCATATTTTCACATCTCCATCTTCGGAGCAAGAAGCCAAAAGAGGGATGCCGTGCAGAGGATGGCACCAAGAAAGCTATAATAAAAAACAATAAATAATAAAATTTTGGTTAAAAAAATAATTATTACTATAAATTAAAAAAAATTAAAATAATTTAATTTAGTATGAAAATTTAAAAATTAAATAAAAATAGTTTATAGTAAATGAAATTTATATAAATTAAAGAAAAATAATAGTAAATATATATGTATATAAATGATAACTATAGAAAAATTATAGAAAATTAAGCAAAATTTTAAAAAGCAGACCAAAAAATACTGAATAAATCCCAAATTCAACAAAACTTGTAACAATCAAAAAAAAAATTTAAATTATATAACTAAATTTAAATCTAAAATTATAATAAGCGAGCCATAAATATTTGGGGAGGAAATTAATTATTTTAACTTCGCTTATCAAATATAAAAGTCTGAAAAAATTATTTAAAAGTAAAAATTTGTTATTATTAATCAAAAAACGAATTAAATAAATTAAAGATTTGTTACAAAAAAATTTTGTAAAAAATTAAAATTAAAATTAAAAAAGGAAAATAATTAATTTGCTCAAAATTTAAAATGTTTATATGGATTCTATAATATAAGAAAGTAAAATTATATCATAATTGAAAGCAAAATATAAAAAATTTATAATATATAATAATTTAAAGAATAATTATAATTTTTTAATAAACTATAAGCTATTATAAAGTTAAAAAAACGAAGAATGAAAAAAAAAACTAATTTTGTTGCATAAGAAATTTATTAGAAAAATTATTTTTTTTTAATTTAAATTATAATTATTTTGTTGTATAATTTAATAATAGAAAAAGTAAATCGCTTAACACCTCCCAAACGGGGCCGGTGTGGCCTCTTAAAGTTGCTGTGTGTTGAAATTTATTTAAATCAAAAAATCGATTATGCTCAGAAGAAATATTAGCCTCTTCGTAGCTTTCCTAAATAAAATAATAAAAAAAAGTAAGTTTAAAATTAAATATAATTTAATAATAGGAAAAAAAAAAATAATAAATAACGTGTGATTAGGTTTGTTTAGAAAATGAAAGATACGTGTTTTTAAAAAAATAAGTATTTTAATAAATTTCTCATTTATTTAAATTAAAATACTTAAATTTACAAAAGTTTAAAATGTTTTAATGGAAAATACTACAAATAAGAAGTATATAAAAAAAAAACATTTAATACGTTTATATTAATCTTATTATCCGCTATGTATTCTCGTATAACAATTGTTTTATCCGAAGAGCAAGTAGCAAGTTTGCGACCAAAATAATCAAATTGTACATCGTGCTAAAATAATTATAGTTTATACTAAAAATACGCAAAAAAAAAAGTTTAAAATAAACAAAATGTATAAGTAATGAAAAATTAAGAAAAAGAGACAAATAAATACTAATTTTTCAAGGTGATCTGAAAGAAAGAAAGAGTCACAATCTGGCATTACTTTGTAATGGTATTTAGTAAAAGGTGTGTAAACCAAAATAGCAAAAAGGGTTCCAAACTTTTTATATTTGTGTATTTACAAAAGTAAAATGTAAATATTAAGTTTCACTCGTACGCCGCAGTTTTTTTTAGGGCAAAGGGTGGGAAACTCTAAAACGAAAATCTTTAAAATTTATTAAGTACTTTCTATATAATTGATAAAATACTCCTAAACTATAGTGTATCTTTTATTTTTTTACTTAAAAACTTCAGACCTGCTAAAAACGAGAGTGTTAACTTGTAAGGATTTGTGGAATCAAAAGATATTAAGAAGGTAGCTGTTCACGTTAAACTCTTTTTTTTAGTTGAAATTTAAAAGAAACTTATTTTAACAAATTTAATATATTAAATGTTTTTGTTTGAACAGGCTTTGATTGATAATAACAATAACACTAACGTATATTTTAATGTTTGTTTTGCAGTTATATTTTCTTATTAAAAAAAAAAGCATGGATATTTTTAATATAACATTTAAGAGTATTGCTCTAATGTTTTACACAAATAAATTTCTGCTTTTGATTTAAGATTTCTAGTTTAAATAAATTTAAGCAACAAACGCAAGTAATCTAAACTTTTATATGTGTCCATCAATACTTTCGTTGAATAAAGATATGCTCTTGTAAATCTCTAAGCTCTTTTGATCCGTAACGTTTACATTTTGTACCTTTTTTTATCTCAAGTATGCAAGCTGCTAGCACGATCAGGTAATTTAAATAGTGGCTTCAATTTTTCTGTTCTAGTACTGCAGTGTTTTGTGATACTAAAAAATAGTTAAAAAAATACTAATACAACTTCTCTTTCTTTATTTAAACCTGGGCGTCATAGATTGATATCACCTTAACTATAAATTCAAGACGGGCTGATTTTTTTTTTAAAGTATACTTTCCGTTTATTTTTTAACAAAACTTGCAGTTTAAAAGGAAGGCAAACTTTAAGTACACGAAATGTAAAAAGGTCCTTAGTGATGATTGCAAAGCAAAGATGTGCCTAAAATCTACCTTTAAAATTAAATTTAACGATTGTTTCTTTTGGCAATTTATTTCTGATTTTAATATTTGACTCGGGGGGTTCACGACTACGTTGCCAGCGCAAAGCTACTTATTTTTTGAAAAACCTCTTTGATTTCAAATTTTTACTAGTTACATTTTGTTAAAAGCACCACGTAAAAACTAAATTTAAATTATAAAAAGGAATTACAAATAAAAAAATTTGAATGTAGTTTAAATTATGAAGCGGAGCTAAAATAAAGTTTTTTTTGTAGCAACTTACTAATGGTGGTTTATATATATTCCTGTTTTTCTTTTACCCAGAGATGGTTGGTATTAACTGAATAACGTTTAAATAGTATAAATGTTTTCTGGTTTAAAAAAGTTATAGACTTTATATTATATTTCTCTTTACTTTATTTTTATTAAATACAATTTATTATGGAGTAAAATTTAGTTTTGTTAACTTAACAAGAACATAATAGAGGTAAAAACACCGTTGAATTAATAGAAAAAAGTTGGAAAAAATAGAGCTTAATTGTAAGCAATAAAAAAGAAACAGAACGAGTTTCAGATCTGAAAAAATAAAAATGAATAGAAAACAACTTAAAAAAAAATTAAATTCTTTTCGCACCAAACTTCGCCTTAAATATCCTATGTGCGTAGTCAAAAAGAGACAGCTAATTAACTTGTTTATTAAATCTTTTTATCATAATGCTTTATATTGTCAGGTTAAAGGTTGAAGTCCTTAAAGTAAATTTGCGTCACTCAAGATGTTGCAATTGGGATTCAAAAAATCTAGAGAAAAATATTAAACAAGACCATAAAGCTAAACAAAAAACTGGGAAAGACGTAAATTTGACAATTCTGTGCTTTCACGAATAAAACTATTTCCTTGTTTTGAATTGCATATGTGCATATACTGCTTAAAATATGGCTTAACATTTCTAATCAAAATTAGGAAAAACTATATAAAAACGACTCGATTTACTTGCTAATAAAGTTCTACTTTATTAGAATTTTTTTCCCTCTCTTTCTGCATCTAGTTCGTTTCGTTACTCATTTAGTTTGACTGAGTCTTGCTGTAATAGTAATAAACCGAAATAGTGTTATCTATATATGTATATCTTTATATCTTTCTCCGCCGAAGGTCTCCATAACTTCGTACCGTTTGTATAAATACAAAGATCCAGGAATTGTATTTTTCCACTCTTCATAGATACTTTGGTCTGCTACCACATGAAACGAAATCTTAGTGGAACGAGTTTTGTTTTTATATTTAGATATGAGATTTCTCACCATACCTTCTTACAATACCTGGGAGAGAGGTAGGGTATATATATATATTCTTAGTAAAATAAGTTTTATTATACTTTTATTAAACACTTGTTAGGTGTTAAAATATATTATAACAAATTTAAGGAATTGCAAGGTCTGCCCCCCGTAGTTTGTTTCAGTCTGAGTGACGATGGCAAAGCCATTTTCGTGTTGGCAATAAAAAAAGATGCTCAGCTATCTTATATGTAAGATCCAGGTTAATGACCGGTATAAAAAACTTTTAGTTAAAAAATTAATTATAAGGTAAAAATTGAAAAAGTCAAGACTTTATTATAAGTGAAATAGAAACTGCTCACTCCACAATTTAAAATCGCTTATTTACCCGTTAACGGCTGGCTTATTAAACAAGTGTACGATAAAAATTTCCTATTTTACTTTTCTTTCGTGTTGAGTGCCTTCACACATCTACTAAAAAATCCAAATAAAGGAAAAAAAAGAATACAAACTTTGTGAGTAACGGGCAATCCACAAGCCTGGAATTATTAATATTACCTATAATACAATTGATTAAGCCTTTATTTGTTATTAAAAATTGCTACTCTTTTTTTAAAATCGAGTTTAGGATTACTCTTGGTCCGCGTCTTTAATGCATGCCTAAATACTGTCATCAATATAACTTACACACGTGAACTGTTATTTAATTACTCTACGTAATTAAAAAAAAACGTGATGGTCAAAGAATTTTTACTTACTAAAGTCTTTCATGTATAAATCTGAGTAACATAAGATAATAAGTAAAACACTCCAATATTATAATTATTTTTCTTTTTTAACACTATTGACTTCTTTCAGCACTTCTAATTTTTTTATGTGTATAAAGACTTTTCAAATCTTTTATATAATTTTCCTTTTCTGAATTATCTATAAAATTAAAACAGCTGCCTAAATCGACCGAGAAAGGGGTTAACACCCTTACTTTACTTTTTTTTCGTCTTACTTTAGTAGAACAAGCTAGTTAGCTATCCTTACTAGTAAGCTAGTTAGTTAGTTTCGTTCTTCTAAAGTAGAATTCTAGCATTTTTAAGGTAACTTTAACTTTCTCGTCTCTTTGACGGCTTTAAAAATGGTTGGTGTTGGGATAGCATCATCTTCTGAATACGATACAATAAACAGAGAGGCCGAGGTCTAGCATTTAAGCTCTTGGTTAGGGTCTGCTCTCTTTAACATTAAAACAGAAGGTCGTTGTAAGATTCTCTTAAGTGACCGTTGTGTGTCAAGGTTTATTGATTAAAGGAATAAAGGACATTGGTAAAAGTTCTTCTTCCTGTGCGTTCTAGGTTAAATAGTTTTCTTAAATACTTAGATTTAACTAACAAAATTAACATGCTCCCTAGAGTGCGGCTGTACCATTACTAGGCGCAGTGCACGTTGAAAAAAAGTTATTTCAACCGTCAGATTAGGATAAGATCCCTTGTCGGGGAATAGGTTAGCACGATAAAGATGGTACTTCTAAAGATGTGCATTGACTAAGTAAATAAGTATTTTTCATGAAAGAGCGGTATTCAAAAAAGTAAAGCTTTTGGGGACATTAGCTTAATTATAATTTTATAAACTTATGTTTGTTGCTCCATTATTATTATTTTATAAATTATTTTAAAAAATTTTTATGTATTATCACTTTTGATGAGTACCTTAGTAAAGTTTTTGTTAAGCATAGTACAAGAAGGGCTTTGCTATCTGTAGTAAGATCTAGGGTATTAGGAATTTGCGCACTTAAAGATTAAGGAAATAGAATTTTTAATTTTTTCAAAAAAGTCCTATAGGGTAATATCATCAACTATCTAGAAGTCAATCAGTTTAACAGGTTGGAATACTTTGGAGTAGAATTTATATATAAATCTTAATGTTATTTTTTTCTCTACTCTATATACCTATCGTGCAAAATTATTTCAATGTTTTGCATTTTTTGGTTTAATACATAATAACTTTTCAATAACATAATGGATTACTTTAAATTTTATCTACAGTAACTTTCTATGTTCTAGCTACATTTTATTAATACTTGATCTTATATTAGTTTAATATTCGAGAAGATATGAGCTTGTAAAGTTGAAAGATTTTAGAAACAATATTGTACGTAGGAAAAATTTAATTTAGTAAACGAGGTTGTAATAATTAGTATAGCTCCCTTTTGCCAGAATCACTTCTTTTATCCTCTTTGGCATACTGGCAATCAGGTTGTAAGCATTGGATCGGTGTTATAGTTCCCATTTTGATTGTACACGTCTCCAATGCACATCCAAGTCAGCAGGAGCTGATTAGTATGATCTCTATTTTCTCAAGACAACCCATGCATGCTCGATGGAGTTGAAATCAAGAGAATGCGGGAGCCAGTCTAGCACTTGGAACGACTGTAATTGGAGCATTGGTCACACCGATGGTGCTGCATAAAATAGGGAATTATCCTGCTGAATAACCATTCTACCAAGACCAAGGCCATAACAAAATCGCATCTTCTGGGTAGGTCATACTTAATAACGTCTAAATCGCGTGCTTGCGGTGATGCTCCCGTCACTTTTTTTTCTACATATATCCGACCCCCTTAGATGTTATACAGGGCTAAATAATAATCTATCCTTCATTATGTTTATATATTTGACCACCTGGTGATCAAGAGTTCAGTAATCGCCGGATCGCTTCCCACACCACCTAATACCATCTGGACCATCTCGATTGATCTTGGTCTCATCCCGAAAAAATTACTTTTCCCAGTCAGAAATGGACCAATTTTCTTACTTCTTCGCAAACTAAAATTTAGTCGCCTCTGACGGTCTGTCAAAGTGGGTTTAATTAACTTTCTTTTTGATTGGCGACTTGCAGAACGCAATACTCTCGATACAGTCGATCTTGAAACTGTTCTATCTAATGTGGTTTCTAGGGTTTTTGAAGCTTTTTGTGCAGATTCTATTGCACCCAGTGTCACTTGTCGTACAAATGGAGATAAATCCAGGTTTTTCAAGATCTTTGGACGCCAGGTTCATTGCAAGGACACTATGGATCATATTGAACTTTCGTTCGGGATATTGTGGCCTTATTGACAATACATTCACGATCGATCTCAGTATAAGGCTTACCTTTATATAAAGGACATTCTACATCATTTTCTTCATTGATTTAAAGTTTAAGTATTATTGAATTAAGGTCTCCAAAGAATCTATCCTTTATAGTCACCGAAACGTTTAAAAAAAACCCTATGATGGATGATCATAAAAATTTAGTAGAAAGGTTGAAACTACTTTGCACGAAGGGGGCCACGTGCAAAATCATTTCGCTTAATGCTTAAACTTTAAATGTGATAGAGTTAAGAAAGCAATTCCTCTAATATAAACTGCATTAAATAGAACTCAATCTAAACTCATATATATATAAGGGATTAGTATAACCAATAATTAATTAAAGCGTTATAAAATTTTACGAATAAGTATAAAACAGAAACAATTTTGAACGATAGTGTTTATAAGCAGTTATTTTCAAAGAATGTACATGCTAGAAAGAATTTCTCACTGTGAGCTAAGCGTTCAATGAAAGGTAACTCTCAATATTCTGGCGAAGCGCCAAGACTAATTTTGTTTTAGATGGTGAGTGCTTAAGTGCTAATGTTTGCACAAATTTGGCGATACTTATAAAAAGATATAAAAATATAGCAGATAACGTTAAAAGGCAAAGAAAGTACTCGCCTATGTTATAATTCTGGGTTAATTGTTTAGAAATTACATATAAAAATTTTACTTTAAAAGGATTATAAAATTACAATATATATTAATTCTATAATAAGCCATGTGTCGTAAGAGTGTAAAGTTTCCTTGCTATATCTAGCTAAAAGTAAGCCTAAGAAAAGTAACACAACCTGCTAGCACTTAGAATTAATTTATCAGGCCCACTGCCAGTAAAACATAGTTTTCTAATTTATGTAAGAGCCTAATCAGTAAAACTGGCTATCAACAAAGAATTAAAGTATGCATTATATAAATGTTGTAAGCTTTAAACATCAAGAAAGCACAATGAAATTTTAAAGATAGGAATTTTTATGGGAAAGTGAAACGAGTTAGCATCCTCGTAAAGGTTATCCACACAATTAAAAGAATTGTATTGAGAACTACCTTTATGTTGTTAAAGTTTACCCATATTTCAACTATTTGTTCCATTTAAAATTTAATAAATTAGCTCATAATTGTTGCTAGGTTTTAAAAAAAAACCAATGTTTTTACTTTTAAATTATTTATCGTGAGATAATTTTTCCATAAAGTGATTTCTTATTTTGTTGATTTAAAAAATCAATTATTAAAACATCTTAAGGTATTCAATAACAATATTTTAAATTAGTTTTATAAAATTTATAGCTTTCTATATAACATATAAGTAGATCATGGTCTCTGGCAGTAAACACGTAGTAGTAAGCAATGGCACTGTTGGAATTAAGTCTGATAAATCACGCGCTATATCACATGGCTGTGCATATGTTTTGTATTTGTGCTCATATCACGTGACTTTTGTCGCCAGTTTTTTAATTTTTCGGATCACTTCCCTAGAGGCGTGGATACCCTTCCTTAATGCTCCTTCACTTTTTATCTGTTAGTCTCTGTAAAATTACTTTATCAACTAAATTGGATCATGAAGTCAATACTATGAAAATTAGTTTTCATTAATTTATCCGAAAGTGCGTCCTTTTTCTTTGTGCCTTTCAGCTTGGTTAAATTTGATCAAGTTGGTAATTATATGTATGAAGAAAATTAATTTAATAAAAATAAAGCACAGTATTTTTGGCCACCCACTTAAAATTGGTAATTTTTTGCTTCTAAATTTCTTTGGAAATGGTCTCTTAATAGACAACATTGCTTTTATTATTTCCACATTTTCTCTTTGTAGCCAATATGCTGAAAAAAAAAAATTATTAATAGGTTAAATTTTTTTTTAAGGAAGTAGCTTTTCTTTATACCAATAAAATTCTCTATCTTTAGCTATGAAGTTAAAACTTATACTTTGATAAGATCTTTCGGTTGCTAAATTATTCATTATCTGCGTTTTTTGAATGTGGAACCATGTTTAAAATAAAACTTTCGCTGTATTACCACCTTTAAAATATCTATAAAAAAAGGAAATAGAGGAGTAAATTTATAGTTCATTTTTTAACTAATACATTTTTAAAGTACAAACATCAACTATCTAACGCTTTAGTCAAGGCTCTTGCTAGTTTTGAGAGCTATACAAGATTTATGTATTAGCCCACCGATTTTCAATAAAAAAGTTATGAAAATATATTACAAAATACTATTTATTTAGGAGGGTAGCGTGCCTTTAGCTTTTATTTTCATTTTATCCTTTTTTTTTAAAAAAAAAATGCAAGTTACTTCACATAACTTCCTTAATGTACTTGAAGATTTCGAAAAATTACTTTCATCTTGTGAATTTTATTCTATAGATGAAGAGATGACCGGTAAAATATAGATTTGTAAACTAGATTTTAACAAGCTGAATAACTTTTTTAAAATTACTATTTTTGTTTTGTAGTAATTTTAATCTTTCTCTTTTTCTGTCAAATATAAAGTTTATTATTAATTTAATTTCAAGTCAATTTTTCAATAACTTTTGAAAGTATATTCTTCTTTAGCCCGTTTATTATTAAAGTTACTAACGATTTTTGCAAGCTTAATTTTTTTTATAAATTGTTAATTTTTTTTCCCCTTGTTTTTAGCTAGCTTAATCAATTTATTATTATAGGTTTGTTAATATTTTTTAACATTTTAATTTATATATATATATTTTTTCTCATATGTAATAATATTTATTATTTATTTTAGCACACTTTTAAATGTTAATTTTTCAAAACATTTCAAAAAATTCTTCGTATCATAAAAAATTTAATTTACGAGTTTACAAGTTATTAACGTATTTTAAAGAGTTAATTTTTTTTAGATAGGTAATAAATTAATTTCTTTTTCCTGTAATTAATAATAAAAGTACTAACTTGATTTTAGCAAGTTGTTAACTTTTATTAAAAATTCTTTTTTTTAAAATAATTCAATTTGTTCTTATTTTTATTAATATTAAAATAAATATAATAAATTGATTTTAGCAAAAAATCTTTTTTTCTAAAATTTGTTAATTATATATAATGGTAAATATATTTTTTCTCCCTGTATATAGTAAATTATTGAAACTAACGATTATAGCAAGACTATTTTTTAATTTTCTTGTTAATTTACAATACTAATTTATACAATTTTTGTTAAAAATTAAAAATTTATTTTAAATTGTTTTTTTTCACATTTTTTATTTTAATATTTATTTATTTTATTAAAAAAATTTATTATATAAATGAATTTCAATATTTTTAGTTGTATTAATTTTAAATTTTTAAGTAAAATAATTATTTTTATTTAAAAACTGTTTTCTTAGAAAAATAAAAATCTTGATAACATTTTTTTGCATAAATTTACAGAAATTAAGTTTTTAACTTCAACTTCAATAAAAATAATACTTTTAAGTTATTTATCTTTTTAAATTAGGCTATTTATAAAAAATTTATTTATTATATTATAAATAAGTTGATTATTTTTGTTAAAATTTAATTTTTTTTAATTTAATTTTTAATTGAACAAGTTTTTTATTTACATTTTATTATTTTGTTTCTTTGTCATTTTAATTGTAAAATAATAAATTTCAAAATATATACTTATAAATTTTTAATCGTCTTAATTTGTAAATCTTTAAATTTATTTTTTTAACTTATTTAATTTTAAAAAAGTGGACTATTTTTTTTGAAAAATAAAAAATTTTATATCACTTGATTCCTACAGAAATTAAATTTACAAATTAAATTATAATTAAAATGAAGTTTAATATTTTAATTTATTTCTAAATTAATTTTCTTTTAAAAAAGTATTTTATTATATTTAAGTTAAAATTTTTTTTTGTTATAAATTTCTATTTTTTTTTTCTAATTTTAAATGAACATAAAATTTTTTTAATACATTTTTCTAAAAATTTTATTTTAAGGTCAAATAATAACTTTTATAAAAATTTTTTTATTTTTAAATTAAATTTAATAACAATAAAAATTTTTACATCTAAATTTTAATATAAATTTGAAGGTATATTTTTATCGGGCAAGAGAGAAGAAGTTGGGGCGACTCCTGAACAAGTTTTCTTGAGAAATATATATAATATTTTATAAATTTATGAAATTTAATATAATCAATTTATATAAAAATTTTTAATTTTTTAAAAATCATTAAATTTGTGAATAAAATAAAATTAGAACTGGGCTTTGAAAAGGGAAGTAGCTTCTACTTTTTCTATTATTCAATTCGGCATTTGCTTATTTCATAGAGAAGGAAAAAAAACGGAAGGAATTTATTTGTTTTTTTTATGCAGAATTGAGTTATTTTTTAGTTTACTTTTTATTGTAGAGAAAAAATTTGAAAATTAGATTATTTTTTTTAATTAAGTATTCTGAGTTTTTGCTAATTTTTTATAGAGAAGAAAAATATATTAATTTTAAAATTATTTTTTTAGTGCAGGCTGATTTAATTTATATTTATTTATAGAAATAAAATATTTTAATTTCAGATTATTATTATTTTATAATTTAAGTAATACGAGTTTTGCTAAATTTAATACGGACTAGAAAAACATAGAAAATATTTTTAAATTCAGGCTATTTAAGTTTTTATTTTAAGAAAAAAAAAAAATCTAAATTTTAGTTTTTTTTTACTGCAGACCTACAGATTTTTTTTTCTTACTTTATAAAAAAGAAACAAAATATGATGAATTTTTTTTTTTTGAATTTTAGATTTTTATTTAAGTGCACGCTAACCCAGTTTTGCTTATGTCGTGAAGAAAAAAAATTAATAAATTAATTTAGACTATTTTTTTACTGCAGACAATTTGGTTTTCTACTTATTTCTTAAGAAAAAATAATTTAATAATTTTGGATAATTTTTTTAATGCAGACTAACAGAGTTTTGCTTATTCTGTAAAAAAAATTAACAAAAATAAATTTAGAAAATTATTTATTAATAAAGATTAACGATCTTTTGTATTTAATAGGAAAGAAAAAAATAATTAAATATACTTCGATTACTATTTTTTTTACTGCTGAGTAACCGAGTTTTTTCTTATTTTGCAGAAAAAAATTATCTAAAATTTAATTTTTTTTTTCTATAACCCGCTAACAGAGTTTTTTTATTTCATAAAGAAGAAAAATTTAATAATTTTAGATTTTTTTTTTTAATGCAGGCTTTTTGAGTATTTATATTTTTATTATAGATGAAATTTTCTACGTTGCTCGACCTTTTAATTTTTTTTTGTTTCCGGAGATTAATAAAGATCTCATCTTGAGCTCCAGTGCTGTTAATTTTTTAAAAAAACATCACATGGACTTTCAAAAATGGATCTACGACGGTGATTTTTTTGTTGGGCTTTTTTTTTTATTAAAAAAGTTGAAATTATAATTACTATTTTAATTATAAAACTTTTTTTAACGCATTTTCTTTTATTGTTATTATTATTCAACTTTTAATTATAAAATTAACGGATTTTATAAATGGTTGCGTTGGGTTTTCATTAAAAAAGTTTAAGTTATTATAATTGTAATCATAAAACATTTACCACGCATATACAAGATTTTTAGTTTATTATTGTTTTATTATAACTTTTATTTAATTATTTATTTAAATGGGTTGTACGAAAGAGACTTCTTTTTTCGCTATAAAAGTTAAAATTATAATTATTATTTTTATCATAAAACTTTTTTGAGTGTATTTCCAATTCATTATTATTATTGTTGTTTTTTATTTTATATAAACTTTAAATAAATTTAAAAATTGTTGTGCGGAAGTGATTGTTTTTGTGGAATTTTTTTTCTTTAAAAAAAGTTAAGATTGTGATTTTTTTTATAAAACTTTTTTTAAAACTTTTCTAGAGCATTTTTTAATTCATTATTATATTGTTGTTTTATTTAAACTTTTAATAAATACCAAAATTGCGGTACGAGAGTGATTTTTTTGTTGGATCTTTTTTCCTTAACAAAAGTTGAAATTATAATCCTTATTTTAATCATTAAACTTTTTATTAATTCTTTTAAAAGTATTTCCAATTTTTAAAAATTAACTGAACATAGTGACTTTTTTTTGTAGAGTTTTTTTTTTATTATAAAATTTGAAATTTTTATAATTTACATTTATTATTACTTTTTACTTTTTTTTTTATATTTACTTTTAATAAGTTAAAATTGTTGTACAAAAGTTATTTCGATTTGAGTTTAATTATTTTTTAAGAAATTTGAATTATTAAGATAAAACTTTTCTTATTTTATTTGTTTTTTTAAAGCAATTTACTATTTTTATAATTATTAATTGTTTTAAAACTTTTATTATTACATTTTTTATAGCATTTACATTATATTATTATTTTATTTTTTGAAACTTTTATATTATTATTTTAAATTTACTTCTAACTATTTTCATTTATATTTTTTCAAATTTGCTTTTACTAAAGTGGTTTTTTGTTGGAATTTTTTCTCTAAAATTAATATTATATTATTATAAATTTTATTATTATTAAATTAATAATTTTATGAAAAAATTTACTTATTTTTATTATTTTTCTATATTTTAAAAGTTTTTATTAATTATACTTTCCAAAAAGTCAGTAGATTATAATTATTATTACTTTTAAAAATTTCAGTTTATTTTATTGTCGTTTTTTAAAATTTTTAAAATTAAATTTAGTTGTTAAAAATTTACTTTTCTTTAAAACTTTTGTATCATTATTTTTACAACTCTTCTAAGTAAAATAATAATCTTTACAAGCCAATAAAGTTTTCATTAAATTTATTTTTTTATTTTTAGGGATCAGCTATTCCAGTGAAGGTGAAGAAAGTCGCCTGATCAAAGAATTTTTAGAAGAAAATTCCGAATCGGACAAAAATTTGGAACTCTCATCAGAAAAGGATCGCGAGTGGTACTTCAGTACTTTCAAGCGATTTAAAGTTTGTAACTTTTTTTTAAAAGAAAATTTTTATCAAAATTTAGTTTATACAATTTTTTAACTTTCGTTAATTCTGAATTTTTTTAAAGAAAATTTTATCATAAAAAAAAAACTGATAAAAATTTTATTAGGAAAAAAAAAATTAAGACTATTTTAATCAAAAAATTGAGTTTATACTTTTTTTTTCTTTTATATTAATTTAATTAGAAAATTTTATATAAAATTATTTTTTGATCAATTCGTGTTAAATTTTATTACTTAAAAAATTCGGTTTATACATTTTTTTACTTTTTTTATAAAAATTTTAGTAATAAATTAAAAAATTATTTTATTTTATTATTACTTTTAATGTATTTTATTTTTTATGAAAATTTTAATTTGTAATTCTGAATTTTTTTTTATCAAATTTGTAAATATTCTAATTTTTGTTGAATTTTTTATTGCATTTATAAATTTTTGCTTGCATTATAAAAAATCATAATAAAATTCTAATTTTCTAATTATATAACTTTTTTTTTTATTACGTTGAGTGCTCAACAATTTTTTTAAAATCATTAAAGAAATTTTAGAAACTTTTAACGCATTTATAATTTTTTTTTGCTTGCTTTAAACTTTTTTCTGTAAAATTACAACTACTAATCTTAATTTTTTTCTTCAAAATTTTAATTGCTGGATTCTTCACCTCATTTTGTGCTTTTTGCTTGATTAAAAAAAATAAAAAAAAATTTAATCTAAATTATACTGAATTTAATAAAATCGTGAGTTCTTCAAGTTTTTGTGAATCTGTTAACTTTTTTGAATTTCTTCACTATTTTGTATAAAATTTTATTATCACAATTATTATGAAATTTTCTTTTTAATAACTTTAATTGGTCAACAAAGTTTTGTAAATCTTTAAACTTTTTTCAACGTTTAGTTGTGGATGGAAGACACCAAATCTTTTACTGAATTTGATATCGACGCCCAGAATATTCTTCAACGACTTTATTTTCAACAAGAAGCTAAAAAAGAGGATCCTTTTTTAAATTTTTACTCTAAAAGTTTTATTGATTTATAATTTATTTTTTTCTTTCTTTATAATGAATTACTTTTTTTTTTTTTTTTTTCAAAATTCATGTTATTGTACTTTTTTTATATCTAAATTTAATTAATTTATTTTTTATAATTATTTTATATTCATATTATTTTGGTATAATATATTTATATTTACTTTCTGAATTTATTTAGATTTATTTTTTTTTAATTTTTTTTTGTATTAATATTATTTTGTATAATAAATATTTATCAACTTTTTGAATATAATTAGTTTTATTTTATTAAATTTTTTATACTGACATTAATTTTGTAAAATAAATATTTATTAATTTCTGAATTTATAGTTTTATTTTTCTTAATTTTTTTACATTATTATTCTTTTTAAGAAATAAATTTTTATTTACTTTCTGAATTTAATTAGTTTTTTTTAAATTTTTTTTATTAACTTTATTTTGTAAAACAAATTGTTATTTATTTTTGATTTTAATTGGATTTTTTATATTTTTTATATTAACTTTATATTAGTAAAAAAGAGTTTTTATCTATTTTTCTAAATAAAATTAGATTTATTTCTTTTGGTATTTTTATATTAACTTTATTCTTGTAAAAGAATTTCATTTATTTTTTATATATATATTAAATATATATTTAAGCAGATTTATTTTTAATTTTTTTTAAACTATTTTTTTTTTTAATAAACCTATTTTTATTTTTTCATAAATTCATTTAGACAGTTTTAAAATTTTTTATATAAGTAATTTTTTTTTCCAATACAAATTTTATTTACTTTTTGAATTTATGCAGATGCTGGAAGTTACAAGCGCCGTTATGTTGCTCAGAAACAAACAGAAACTGAACATCTTTGCAATATACGAAAGCAAGAAAAGTTAAAGCGTTTGCAGTTGCAGTAATTAACTTTACATTAAATTTTTCAATCTTAATTTATTTTTCATTATTAATTTGTATTGCCAAACTTTTTTTTTAAAGAAAAATTTCGTTTAAATTAATTTTCACTAAATCTTTTCAATCGTTATCAATTTGTTTTTCGTTAAAAAATTTGTTGTAATTTTCATAAAATTTTTCAATCTTGATTAATTTTTTCATTATTTTTTATGTATTATTAAACTATTTTTTTTAAACAAAATACCCTTTTAATTAAATTTCATTAATTTTTTTAATCTATTGTTTTGTATTTCGTTATTTTATGTACTATTTAATTATTTTTATAAAAAAAAATTTCGTTATAACAAATTTTCACTAAAGCTTTCCAAATTTAAATTATTTTTTTCACCCGTTATTATTACGTATTATTCAATTATTTCTTAAAAAAAATTCTTTAAAAATTAATTTTCATTAAATTTTTCTAATTTTTTATTTGTTTTTCGTTATGAATTTGTATCATTAAATTATTTTTCTATGAAAAATTCCGTTTAAGTTAATTTTCATTAAATTTATTTATGCTTAATTAATTTGTCCTTCATTATTTTTATGTATTTTATTTAAGAAAAATTCGTTAAAATTAATTTTCATTAAATTTTGTTAATTTTAATAAATTTGTTATTATTTTTATTTATCGTTCAATTATATTATAAAATTTGTTGTAATTTGCATTAAATTTTTTTATTAAATAATTTTTTTTCCGCTATTTTTATGTATTAACTTATTTTCTAAAAAATTTCGTAAAGATTAATTTTTTATTAAATCTTTTTAGAACAAATAATTTTTTTTTTCGTTATTATTACGCATTATTTATTATTTTTGAGAAAAATTCAATTTTCCGCTATTTATTAATTTTATATTTAAATGTTTTTACTGTTAAATTTTGTACTTCACTGAATCTTTTCAACTCTTTTTTTCGTCAATATACATTATTATACATTTTTTAAAGTAAAGTTTTTGGGGTTAATCTTATTTTTCATTAAATCATTTTAGTTCTTAATTGAATGTTGTTCGCTATTATTTTTTATTGTTAAACTTGTATTAAAAAAGTTTTTGTTGATAATTTTTTTCATCAAATCTTTTCTACTTGATTTAAATTATTTTTCGTTTTTATTTCTTATTATTAAATTATATATACTAAAATACTTTATTTACTGAAGCTACTTTTCGTTAAATTTTCTTTTTAAAAATGCTAATGGACATAATTAACTTTTATAAAAAAATTTTTCAAATAATTCTCTCCAAATCATTTTAATTTTCGTTAAATTATTTTTGTTTTTATTATCAATTATTTTAAAATTATTTTACTGAAAAGTATAAATTATCTAAATTCATTTTCATTAAATTTTTTTAAAATTATTTTTCGTTATTGTTTATTATTAAATTTGTATCAAAAAGTTTACTGTTTAGTTTATTTTTCATTAAATCTTTTCAGTTTGTATTAAAGTAGATCCGATAATAGTAATTATTATTATTATGAAATTGTTTATACCAAAAAGTTTTTATTATAGAAGTTAATTTATATTTTTTTTAAAGTAGTTTTTCGTTATATTATTTTCTACAAATTTTTATTTCAGTAATTTTATAAATTAAAATTTTCACTATTTTTCCATTTTTAATTGAATTCTTCGTTTTTTTATTTACTACGAAAATATTTTTACTAAAAAGTTTTTATTATTTAAATTAATTTTCACTAAATTTTTTAAATAATTAAATTGTTCCTCGGTATGGTTTATTATTTTTAAATTATTCTATACTAAAAAAGTTTTCGTAAAATATCATTTTCGTTAAATCTTTTTATTTTTTTTTAATTTTTTAGTAGAAATAAAAATTTCTACTAAAAGGAAAGTTGGATTTGCAGTCTTTAAGTTTTCAAAATTTACAAAAGAAGAATTTATTTTTTTAATTTTTTGTAAATCTCCACTGAATTTTGTAGACTTATTAAGTTTTGAAAGTTTACAATTTTCTATTTTTTATTATTATTTTTATGAATATTTTTTAATGAAAAAAAAAATAATTAAATTTTTTTGAAAAAATTAAACATTTATTAATAGTAATATAAACTATTTATTAAACATATTTTACTTGAATTTTATAAAGTTGTAAGTCTACATAAAATAAATTTTTATTATCAATTTTTTATTAGTAAAGCCCTATTGCACTTCGTCATAAAATTTTTAATTACGCAAAATCTATTTTTTATTTTATTTCAAATAATTCTTTAATATTATATATTTATAATTTTTTGTAAAAATAATCTTTTATAATTATTATGAAAATCTCTTTTTCATTTCGTCTTTAAGTTTTTTATAAATACTAAAAATATTTTTAATACTTTTTTGAAACTCTTCTAATTTGGAGACTGTTTTTTTTGTTATTAATTTTTTCTCTTAATTTTATGAAAAAATCATTCCTTTCTTTTTAATATATTTTCTCATTAATATTAAATTTATAATTTTATATAAAAGTAATCTTTTTTTTTTATTTTTCTTTACTACATCTCTATTGCATTTTGTTTTCAAGTTTTAATCTACACTTAAAAAAAAATTTATATTTTTTGTAAATCTCTACTGAATGTTATAGACTTACAAGTTTTTTTTTGTGTGATATAAAAGACATACTTACTTTAATTTTATAAATTTATAATTTTTTATAAAAAAATATATTTTTTTTAATTTTTCTTTTAGTAAAGCTCTATTGCAATATAGTCTTCAAGTTGTTTTTTTTATTTATACTAAGAGACATTTTAATTTTTTTTTAATTTATCTTCAACTTTATTAATTTTAAATTCATTATAAAATTCAATCTATTTTTCCAGTATATCTCTATTGCATTCCGTTGTCAAATTTTTGATTTATACAAAAAATTGGTCTTCTATAATTTTTTTTTCTTGTAAATCTTTACTAAATTTTATATTTTTCTGGATTTCATATTTTTTTTTGTTTATTTTACGTTTATATAAAAATTAAATTAAATTTTTTCTGCATTTTTCATTCAGTATTAAAATTTTAATTTTATATAAAAAAATAATTTTCAATTAATTTTCTTCTAGTGGATCTCTGTTGCATTTCGTTTTCGAGTTTTCAATTTATACTTAAAAATTTTTTTCTTGTAAATTTTACTAAATTTTGTAATCTGAGTTTTTAATTGATTTTTACTTGTATGAAAACTTTTTTTATAAACCCTACTGAATTTCGTAGTTTCTAATTTTATAGATTTATTGTAAAAAGTTATATTAATATCTTTCTTATAAATTATATTTGGACGGAAAGTTTGAGATTTCATGCTCTTTAAATTTTTATAAATATACTTTTTTTTAAATTTGTAGATCTTACCTAGTTTTATAGCTTTTATATGTTTTTAGATTCCTCATTTATATAAAAAAATACATTTTTTTTCAAATTTTACAAAAAAAATTAATTATTTTTTTTATAGACGAAAAGTTGGATTCCGTAATCTTTTTAAGCTGCTCGTTGCGTCCAAGAAGCCGCTGATTGGCCACAATTTGCTTTACGATCTTTTATTCATGCTTAACAGTTTTCAAGGCCCGTTACCCAATAGTTGGGCTGATGCAAAAAATTTAGTGCATTCGCTTTTTCCCGAAATTTACGATACGAAATGTATTTTTTTTGTAAAGATAATTTTTTTTTAAATAAAATTTTTTGTTTTTTTTTCTAAAGAATATTATTTTTTTTATACATAAAATCTTGCGAAGTACTCGCGCTTCACTTCGAAAATCGCTTCACTTCGACTTCGTTGGAGACCCTTTACAATTCATTAAATAAAGAAGACCAAAACGGCTTAATGAAGGTTTTTTATTGGTCCTCCGCGCACATTATTTATACTAATTTTTTTTAAGTCGATCAGCATTTCGCTTCCTTTAGGATTTTTGGATTACCATCCGGACATTATAAATTCGTCTGGTGCCCACGAGGCAGGTAAGGAATTATTTATTATTAATTTTTAATTATATTCCAACATAAATTATATTCAAACTTTTTTAAGAAAATATTAAACCAATCTTTTTTCATAAAGTTAATCTATTACTAAATATCCATTTAATATTAAAATCCAATAATTATAAATTAATAATAAAGATTTAATTTAAATAAATTTAAAAAATCTAATTATTTTTTTTTGTAAGAGTTAAATTCTAATAAATCAAATAAATTAATTTTTATCTAAATAAAAGTTATTCTAGCTAAGATAAAATTCAACTAATTTTTTTTTAAAATAAAATTAAAATCTAATAAATCTTTTAAAAAAAGATTTAATTCTGGTTTTTTATTAAGAATTTTTAAATCTAAAAAGTTCTTTTTAAAAAAAATCAAAATCAAATTTTTATTTGAAAAAATTCAATCTTTAAATTTTTTTAAAAAAATTTGAACTCTTGTTTAAAATTTATTATACTATTTTAAAATCTAATTTTTTTATACTTAAAATTAAAAACTGCTTATCTTAAAAAAGTTACCAAAATTTAATTTTTTTTAAAAAAAAGGAAAATTATAATGTGTCAACTAATTATAATCTAATCTTTTATAAGTAAAATTTAGAATCTAATTTTTTCAATAAAAATTAATCTGATTCTTTAAAATTAAAATCTTTTTTTTTTAAGGCTACGATGCTTATATTACTGGCTGCGTGTTTCTTCGTTTAAGAGAAGATCTGAATGGAGATGTCAAAGATTTCGTAAATCGTGTGCATCTCATGCATTCCTTTTATGTAGCGAATTTGGATGGAAACGATATCGACGTTACTAAGGCATAATTCTGCCAGTCTTGTACTTGTAAAAAAAAAGTTACATGAACCAATAAACGCTTTTTTAGGGCCCGGTGGTCCTCGTGTATGACTTTGACAAGCGCATGACGACTACTGATTTTCTGCAGCTCTTGGGCGACCGCCCTGGACAAGTTTCTTTTATTTGTTATTTTTATTATTTGTGATTATTTTTATTTATTTATTTATTATTATTATTACTATTATTATTATTATTTATATGTTATATATTATATATTTTCATTACTAATAATCATTATTTATTATATATTATATATTTATCGTTATTTATGGTTATTATTATTCATTTTAATAAGATAAGCTGGATCAACGACACGAGTTGCTATCTTGTGATGGCTAATGGAGTGGATGAGGATGAACTTATGGTTTCTGCCTTCATTATTTTTTTTTAACTATTTTATTTCTTTCTGCGCCTATAGAACCACTTGAAGTCTGTTCCTAATATTAAAGCATCATTACGCCAATAAACTTCAAAAATTATTTTTTTATATGAAGTTCTATATTCTTTTCAACTTGAAAAAGTTCATTATATTTTGAACGAACTTTTTTCAAGTTTTTAAAAATGTTAACAATTTTTGAAAAAGTATATTTTTTTATTTATTAAGAATTTTTTTTATTAATTTTTTTTGGCGGGGTGCTCTTAACTTTTATAGTAAAAAACCTTCACAATTTTTTTAGTGAAGTATAGCCCGAAATTCTTATTTTCTAGAAAATTCTTAAAACTGTATCTTATTAAATAAAATTATTTTGCTAGAAATTTTGAGAAAAAGCCTCCACGCCCCATTTTTATTTTAAAGAAAAGCCTTTGGCCTCGTGGCCTTAAGAGTATCAAAGTGATATATAGTGGGTGTGTTTAATAAAATACGGATCCCGTTTACCCGAGTTACCGTAGCTTAAAGGTAGATTTTACTTTAGCGTAAACGGGGTGGTTTTACTATTGATAAGCGCCTAAAAGGAATAAATAGTAACAAATAATATAATGTGCTATGAAGCCCTATTCTCTTTTTTAATTGGCTAAAGATAATATTATCTTATTATATTATAAGAAAAAATAAACAATACAACTTTCATTATAAAAAAATTAAAGAAAGTAAAAAAAGATGAAACAAATAAACTTTATTATTTCAATACATATTCTTGAAAGCTACCAATTATTTTTTTTTAAGTAAATATTTTTCTTCAATCCGACTCGTTTTCGGACTCCACGTGGCTTGCCAGCACATTGACCGGCTGCGTTTCCTTATAAGCATTTGCTACAAAAAGAGGATCCTTTTCAGTTACTTCTTTATACTTTAATAGTGCCTCGCGTGGGTCCTAAAAATGATGGTAAGTAAAAAAAATTATCAAATAGTAATAACTAATAAATAATAACAGTAATAATTATAACAATAAATAAGTACTAATAATAGTAATAAACATAAATAATAAATATAAAGTAATTTACAATAAATTAAAAAAAAATAAATAATAGTATTTATTGTAATATTAACAATAATAATAGTGTACTTCAAATCTTGTTGGGTCTTTATCTACAAGCTCCTTAATGGAAGGGATCCATTTAGAAACTATTTCGGGGCCCGTATACTGCGTGGGCTTCTGGAGTTTTTTAGAACGTTGCTTGGCCTAAAAAATAATGAACGATAATAATAAAATAGAAAAGAAAAATAAATAATGATTTAAAGTTAAATAAGAAAAGTTGTATAAGAATAATAATAAAAAATAAAAAAGTAATAAAGTAAAATAATAATAAATTATTATAAGTGAATAATATAAAAACAATTGATTATTAAAAATATTAAGAAATAATAAAATAAAATATAATATAAAATAAATATATAACAATTAAAAAAAAAATACAGAAAAACGAATATAAAATAATAAGCCCATAATATTACCACAAGTTGCCCCACAGCACGTGGCAAGTCAGCAAACAACGGCAGAGCATTTGGTGTATGCACCAATACTTTTGCAGGATCAGCTCCAATGACTAATCAAAAGTGAACAAAAATTAAAGAACATTTTTTATAGATATATAAAGAAAGTATACTCTTTAATTCATAATAATTAGTTTATTACTAATGTATTCATTTTAATAATTAAGTGAAGTGTTTATTTTTTAACGATTTTTTTTTATAAAAATATAGCAAAAGCAGTAACCCATATCCTGTCGTTTAGCAGCTTTTGTAGCGAATAACCTCGCACCTCTCAGACTGATGTGAGGGTCATAGAAAACCTGAGTCAAATAATTAGAATATTCTCAATAACACATAAACAAAATAATACCAAAAAAAATATTTATTTTTCATAAGAATTGTAATTTATTATTGCTTATTGTTTATTTTTCATTAAAATGATTCATAATCCAATAAATTGTTTTAAGAAATTTTAAAACTTTTAGTACAAAAAAAGATGTGCAGCCAAGTGTCAGTTTTTACAAACTATACTTTTCTTAATGAAATCAACATGTAAATTGCCGCGTGGTTTTGCCTTCGTATCTGGGGCGTCTCTTTAACATGGCGTGGCTGTGTGGATTTTTTGATTGGACTTAATATGTTTTCTACTCGTTGAAATTTTTTGTGGATAAGGAATGTTTCAACGCGCCAATTAAACAGCGTCATGCCGAAAAATGCACAGATTATACTGATATAAAAAAATTATGAAAGTCTCACAGCTTAAAGTAAACCCTACAAGGCACCGTGCTGCAGTATAATTTTTTGTATAGTTTGCGCGGTTTCCGAAGATCCGCTGACTTCGTTGATTAGCCGTAATTTTTTGTAAAAGTTTACTGTATATCTTTTATACTTTAAAAAGTTTTTTAGTTTGATTTTACTAGTTTTTTTTATTAGAATAATAAATAATAACTACAAATGTATGTTTCATAAAAGTTTTTGATCTTTAATTATACGATGGTTAATCCACTGCTGTAACACGCCTTCATGTACACTCCTTCCGCCAAGTAGGCCGGCCTCTAAAGTTATGGCGGAGTCGCAAGGGATATTCATTATATATATATTGATGACTTAACTCCAACAATTAACCCGCCCACGATCCTCTTATTGAACGTAAAAAATGCAACACATAGGATGCACCAATGAAGTATTAGCAGTTATTTAAAAGAAAAATTACTTTGCAATTAAAAATTGGTTTGTAAAACGATACCAAATAATAATAAAGTTACCATTACAGATGCCAAATAATAATGTTGCACTAATAAAAGTACGCAACTTAATAAACCAATCACTATTTAGTATTAAAGGTAAACAAACTGGCCAAAATAGGTCTTTCCTGATATAAACTCTAATAAGAAGGCCACATAAAAGTTCAGGAGTAACTACGAGTAAAATGGATGGTTCACACGTTTTTCATGACAAGGATACAAATACTTAAACTAGTCCGACCAAATTATGAAATTTTTGTTTCAAATAAAACCAAATTAGTATAATATATGAAATTACAAATTACTAACATAAAACTACCAAATTATAAATAGTTTTGTAACGAATAATACCAACTTAGTATAATACAGAATTTATATTACTGAAAGTTAAACCGACCAAATTATAATAAAGTAGTTGATTTTGTAACAAAGAATACCAATTTAGTAGTAAAATAAAAAGTGCTTAACAAATTAACCAAAAGTTAAAGTTAAAGTGGTCAAATTAACGTTGACGCGTCTTTCTCCATTAAAGATTTACATTAAAGCGCAATGAACAATTGTACCAGTTAAATAATAAGATTTATAATTCGTTACAAGCTACGATAATAATGGCCAAAGTAACAACCTTAATTTTACCGTCTCCGGCCCCGACCAATAGTTGGTTGAGTTTCGGATGCCAAAGAATGCTAACGGCGCTCGTTTCTTTGACTTTAAGCTAAAAATAATACAACAAATAAAATATATTTAAAAAGAATATATTAATAAAAAAATTACTTTATGAAATATCTATATGGATAATACTATAACCAATAAAAAAAGTTATATATAAACTCCATATCCAGAATTATATAAGTAAATATTATATATTATTATTTGTAATGAATACTTCACAAATATTCTCGAAAGTTAGTTTATCATAAAAAACAATTCTTCCGTTTCCTTTTCCTTTTCTTACGGATGTTCCAGTAACAACTACTTTATCGTCGGGGCTGAATAGGCAATCCGTATTCTGAAATATTATTATTGTTGTTATTATTATTAGTATTTATTAGTTTATAAGTTATTTATCATTAATTATTTAATATTTATTATTAAATTTATTGTTCATTATTAAATGTTTAGATTGTTTATTTATTATTTATAACTAATTATTATTATTAATATAATTATTATGATTATTATTATTATATCAATGCGAACTGTAAAAGCATTTTCCAAGTCATTAAAAACATGAAGCGGTTTTTGAAAGGAACGAACGTCCCACAATTTCATAGTATCGTCCGTACCACGTGTAGCAACAGTTTTGCCGTCACTTTTTTTTTATAATAAAAATATCTTAACTTCAGCAATTATATTGAAAAAAAATTATAATTATTTTTCTATAGATTATATATAAAAACTTTTTTATCAAACTTGTATAGTAAACAAAATGAATTATATTTACTGCTTATATTTGTGATAAATGATAATTATACAAAATATTTCCTTCCGGATTATAATAATAAACGAAATGTTTATATATTAAACACTTTTCCAAAAAAACTTTAATAATAAAAAATATACATATAAATATTTTTTTTAATAAAAAAAAAATTGAAATAATAATAAATATTTACCGCTTTTTTTTCTAAATATAAATTCTAAATATTACTTTAAATATATATAAGAAAAGGTTTTTCTCTTCGGATTATAAAGATACACGTAAAATAATAAATAATATCTAACGCTCATCTATAAGATAATAAAGATATTATTTATAAAAGAATATAAATTTTTTTTTTATTTAGATTATAATAAAAACCGAAAAGTAAAACCAGTTTTAACGCTTCCCTAAAAAAAAACTAAAAATATATAAATAATTTTTTTCAATTATAAATATAAACGTGAAATAAATATTTAATACTTTTCCAAAAAAAAAAACTTTTTTACACGTTTTTTAATAATAATAAAAGAATTTTTAATACAGACTAAAAAAAAACTCACTTTGATAAAACAATGGACGATATTGGCTGGCCGACCGCGTGGGCTTTATGCTACATAATAAAACATTGATACAAAGTGAAACAGCGCCTTTAAAACATGCTCAACACCACTAACACAAAGGACCAATCAGATATTTTCATTTGTTATAAAAATCGAAACCTGCGATGCTATTGGCTTAATATATCCAGCGGCATAACTGTCGTATAAGTAAATACCTCCAAACTCCGTAGCGGCCGCTAATAAAAATAGTAATATATAATTTATGAATATATAAAAAAGATAAAAAATTTACTAATTTTATTTTAATTTTTTTTTATTAAAAATGCGACAAATAAAATTGAAAGTATAACATGTAAATTAGTGAATCATAAAAAATTTATATAATATTATTTGTTATATTTTAAACGTTTTCTTGAATTTTTTTTAAAAAATTTATTCTACTTTATTAATATCTATTAATTAGAAAAAGTTTAATTTTATAATATTTATTTATTAAATAAATATGAAAATAAGTAAAGTTCTTATATATTATAGAAAGTAAAATTTATATAAATTGTATTCACTATTTTATTATTTATTTAATAAAAATATGAAATTAAGAAAAAAATTTTCAAATACTATAAAAAAGTAATATAAAATTTTATTTATTTTTATTATTTATTATATTTATAAAACGTTTCTTTAATTATTATTTATTAATTTATTAGAAATATAATAAAAGCATGAATATTAAAAAATATATATATATTATTAAATATTTTAATTCATCACTTAAGAGTTCTTTTGTTATTTATACTTTTATTAGAAATAATCAAATCGTGAATATTTTTTTAATTTTTTATTGTGAAGTATTTTCTTCTTTAATATATTTTTTTTAAATGTATCAAAAAAAATCCTGAATAATAAAAATATATGCTTACGTAAACTATTTATATATTTTATATTATTTATAATATTATAAAAAGTTTTATATATAATGAATTTTCCTTTAGAAATATAACAAAATAAATTTGTGAATATTAAATAAAAATACAATATTTAATAAACTTTTTACTTATTTTTGTTATTTAGAAAACGATTTTTTTCATAATTATTATTTTCTATTAACATTTTTTTAATTATTTTTTATTTTAAGTAAAAAAATTAAAAAAATCTAAACTAAAAAATAACGATAATAATACCAAATAAAAATGTAAAAGAAAAAGTATAAAAAAAATAAAATTCATTAAAGAGTAAAAAAAAAAAGTTTAATACTTAAAAAATATAAAAATTTAAAAGTTTCAAGTATATAAACTTTAATATTCAATAAAAAAAAGATTAACAACTTTAAAAATTTTAATGAAAACAAATAAAATAAAATGTTGAGCAAAAAGAAAATTTTTTAGTAAGACAAATAAACGCCGTCTTCTAATAAAAAAAAAAACCAAAAATATTTCCATCCGCCGAAAAGTTAGCGGCAGTTACGGGAGTGGGCTTGCACGTGGATGTTTTCATTTTAAAAACCTTAAAAATAGTGAAAGCAAATATTTAAGATTATTAAAAAAAACTTAAAAATAATGAAAAATATATAATATATTAAACATTAAAATGAGAAAAAAAAATAATATAAAATTGGTAATAAAAATAAAAGAAACGCATGAATAAAAAATAACAATAATATTATAAAAAAGGAATGAAAGTAATTGGTTGGTCAAGAGTACTCGAATTATTCTGCACTTGTCCTTTTTATTATAGATATGTGTGTCAGCCGATTAAAACGAACCGGTAAAAACCGCAAAAAATAGCGATGCCAATGCAGAAAAACAAGACATCAGCCAATAATAACTGGCTCACAAAACTATCATATATAAAAGAGAAGTCTCTAAACAAAGTATCTCTTGCTTCTGCAATTGGCTGTGTATACCGCAAGGCAAAAAATTCCGTTCTACATAAACCAATCGAAAGCAAGGACAGTAAATACTAACGAATCAAAGTAGCAACTGCGTATTTATAATGAACTTTAACCCTACAAAGAACACGTGGCCATCTAAAGTTTTGCAACAACCAATCATTAAAAAAAAATTGAAAAGTATAAATATAATAGAACTTTATTGGGCACTTTTTAGTATTTACAAAAAATTTTTATAATTTTTTTTATTTTAAAAAATATTCTACAATAACAAAAAGAAAATTTTGGTACAAGTTTTTCCATTATTTTTAAAGTTTTCAAAAAGGATAATATTAAAAATATTTTTACATTTTCTTTTTATTAATCCTTAAATTGTTTATGACTTTTTTTTCTTGCAATAATAATAAATTATGCTTTTAACTTTTTGTACATTTATTAGTGGTACTCATAAAATTTTAAGTTTATTGTTTCATTACCATTATTGTTTTATTTGTATTTTTAGGTCAAAAATAAATTTTATTCATAAAAAGTATTAAACTTTATAGTAAAAAACTTATATAGTATTTTCGTAATATTTAATGGGCCTCACTTGGAACTGCTGCCATTTCATTCGATGAACGTCCCATAAACGCACCGTGCTGTCCACCCCAAAAGTCATAAAATAATTCTTATCTTTCGGGTGCCATCGTCCGCCGTATAAGAGACCAACATGGCTAAAAAGTGCCAAATAACACCAATAAAAATACAGTATTCAAAAAGTGTGACCAAAGTAACAAAAAAGAGCTAATAAAAAATTGTAGAAATATTAAATAAACCACATGACTAAAAGAAAAGTGCCAGCCAACCAAATAAAAACAGAAAGATAGGTCATCAGTAAAAAATATCCAAAAAAAAATAATATTCCTTTAAAGTAAAATTAAAAAAAGTACAAAATAATAATCAATAAAATTTTATACCATTAACAGATGCGAACTCAAAAAAATTCATAAAATATAATGAAAAATATAATATATAATTATTTTTTTTTAATATAAAACTAATAAAAGTGATAAAAAATGAGAGTAATGAAAACTATACATCGTTTAAATATACAAACAAATAAATCCTCATTAAAAATTATAAACAATATAAAGTAAAACTTAAAAAAATAAAAAATTAAATATTTAAACCGATAATATATACAAACTCAAAAAAAAATTCAAAAGAAATAATGAAAAACATAAAAATATAAAAAATTTATTTTCATTAATATAAAACTAAAAAAGTAAAAGCTTAATACAAACTAATAAAAATTTCATTAAAAATTATAATATAATAATATGCTACCATAAATATATGCAAACTCAAAAGAATTCATTAAAAAAAGGAATAATATACAAATATATATAAAAAGTTAAAGTAATGAAAACTTTACATTGTTACAAAAAGCAAATTAACAAAAAATTCATTAAAAATTGTGAAAATTATATAAATATATAAAAGTGTTTTTGTTGAAACGATATAATGCCGTTAATATTTAAAAACACGATAAAAAATTCTAAATATGAATGAATAATATAATTATAAAAAAATTATTTTTAATTACAAACCAATAAAAACTGCATAAAAAATAATGATAAATATAAAAATACTATATATAATTATTTATCCCTAACAAAAACCTAAAAAAATAAAAAATATATATTTTATACAGTTAATACGTACAAACTCAAAAAAAAATTCACAAAAATAATGAAATATACAAACCAATAAAAATTTCATAAAAAATAATGAAAAATATAAATATATATATAAACTTAATACTTAAAGAATTCCTAAAAAAATAAAAAATATAAAGATATATTATACTATTTTTTATAAGTAAAAGTTATTATAGTTTATAAAAAATAAGAATAATTAAAAATATAAACCTCTAATATATAAATACTCAAAAATAATTCATAAAAAGTAATGAAAAAAAAACCAAAAAAAAAAAATATAATAAAATAATAATGTATATGTTTTCTATAAAATAACTTATAAAAGTAAATAATAATAACTTTATAACGTTATATAGAAATTCAAAAAAAATCACCAAAAATAATGAAGAATATAAATTATATAAATAAATTTTGTTTAAAAATAAAACTTTCAAAAGTAAAAAAATGTTAATAAAATTTTTTTATCGTAAATACTAATAAACTTCAAAAAAAATCATTAAAAGTTATGCAAAATAGAAAATATCTAAATAAAAATAATTTTTTCTTAAGTAAAACTTTCAAAAGCAAAATAAAAATTCATAAATAATTATGTAGCGTAAATACAAATAAGCTCAAAAAAAATACATAAAAAATAATGAAAAACATAAAATATGTAAATAAAATTAATTTTTTTAGTAAAACTTTTAAAGCAAAAAAATTTCATAAAAATCTTTAAATCGTAATTATTAAAAACTCTTACGAATTTCATATAATATAGTGAATCTGTAAAAAATTAATTAAAATAAAATGAAAGTAATGAAAACTTTATGCTAATCACAAAATATAAAATCAAAAATAATCATAAAATATAATGAAAAATATAATATATACTTTTTTTCTTTGATAATAATTATAAAAAAATATGGGTAATAAAAATATTATACCATTAATATTTAAAAATTGAGAGAAAATTCAAAAAAAATAATGAAAAATATAAAATATGTAATGAACGATAAAATAATGAACCCTTTTGTGCGGCTCTTATCGTTTATATACGGATCGCCTTTAACGCATGTCTCAATAAGAATCCCTGCACATCACAATCACAAAAAGCATTATTATTATTATCATTATTATTGTTATTGTTATTATTATTATATTTATTATTACTGCTATTATTTTATTATTATTATTTTTTATTATTATTTAGTATTATTATTATTACCTTCACGATCATAAAGTTGAGCCTGAGAATTAGCAACTACACACAAAAATCGGTCACCTAATAATAATAATTATTATTAGATAATGGAGTAGAAAGCAATAATATTTGTTATTAAATGAAAATTTTACTACTCGTCATATAAATTTTAATAGTTAATAAAAATGTTATACATAAAAAGTTCGATGCTCACTACAATTATTATTATTACTAAATATTGAAAAGAAACCTGATATACTCCAATCAACTGACTGAACCTGGTGTGATTCAACGGGCTCTATTTGGCGAAAGGATTTTAGTGATTTATTCATTCCAGCAAAGTCCCAAAACTTCAAGTAATAGTCATACCTTTAATAATAATAATAATAATAATAATAATAGTAATAAAAATGAGGCACTAAGCAAAAACTATAAATATTTTATTAATTATTAATTGGCAACTCAAGTCATATAAAAATTTTAATAACCACTCAAACAGTAGAAAACATTGCAGGCGGTATTAACTTTCATAAAACAACAAAAAAAAATAGCCAATGAAAACGCTTCATAAGGCGAAGCTACCAACAAGTATAAAGTATACTCTAAAGGATATCATAAAAGTAAAAAAACTATAAAGTAAAAATTTATTATATTTTAAAATATTCAAATGTAAAAGAGTTTTATATATTCCAAAAAAATAATGAGTAAAAAATAGTTATAAGTAATATTTTAATGGGAAACTAAAATGTATCCCATAAGAAAAGTTTTTATATAAGTTACCCTCCAGATATTAAACGGGAGCCGTTTGGATCTAAAGCAAGAGTACTTACAAGCTTCGCGCTGTGCTCCAAAGTCACGTGGTTCGTTACGGGTAAACCGTAACGAGACTGCAAGACGAATAGTGAAAATATATTAAATAACGAAATTAAAAAGTTTCAAAAAGTAAACGTAAAAATCACTTTTTCATAAAAAATATAAAATAATATAAATAAAGTCGAAATAAAAAGTTTCAAAAAAAGTAAGAGATAATTTTTAACAAAAATAAAATGAAAAATAATGAAAAATAAATGAAATTTTCATGTTTAAAAAGGTATCCAATAGAAAAGATATACTTATTTACTAGTAAAAAAAATTATAAAATTTATGAAAATATTAATACAGTTAGAAAAAAGTAAAAAAAAAAAAAAGAAAATTGATGAATGTCATTAAAAATATTTATAAAATCAATATAAAATAGTCCCACAAAAGTGAAAAGAAATATTTTTTTTACTAAAAAAAAGAAAATAATAAATTTTATTAAGTCTTATATAATCAAGATAACAAAGTTTATAAGTTTTTTTCACTAAAAAATAAAAATATATAAAGAAATATTAGTACAATTAATATAGTGAAAAAAATATTACTAAAAAGGTTCTTCAACTAAATATATATAAATATATAAATTCTTAAATAAATATAAAAGTTTTTCTTATGAAAAACTTTGAAAATAGGTGCGACCAATAACCAAAGAGCAATTACAACGTAAACAAAAGGCAATATTTTTAATGAAATATAAATTAATATAAAAAAAATAATTATAAAGTAAACAAAATTTTTCACGAAAAGCAAAGATTCGCATCTACTATATAATAATAACTCAAAAGTAAAAAAATTTTACTCTCGTAAAGTTATATAATATAAATTGACTTAAAAAAACGTAAAATTTTAAAGTCATTTAAAGAATTACTAATCAAACTGAATTAAGAAAGAAAATTAAAAAAAATTTTGTTATAATTTATAAAAGTATTTCATAATAACTGAATATATATAATAAAATTAAAACTACAATTGGATTGTAAAAAAAAAATTAATCTGCGAAAAAAGTTAATAAAATATTCATAAACAAACTTTTAATAAATATGATGTGAATATAAATAACTTAAAAATTAATTTATTATAAGAAAATAGTTAATTAAAATTTACTCATTTATATAGAAAATAACAATTTAAAACAAAGTTTAATAACTAAAGTTCTACTTTATATACAAGATTTAAAAAAATATATAAAAATTTTAAATTATAAAACGGCACTATTGTAAAAATAGTATATATATAATATAAAATAAGTATAAAGTTGAGATTTTACAAAAAATTATTTAATACTACTAACAAATTTAATGGTATTTATAAACAAACCAAAAATTTATTACACATGTAACAATATTATTCAAAAAAAAAAGTAAATTTAATGTTTTAAAAAATTATAGATAAATATTATTAACAATAAATTAATATTTTTTTATTAGCATATAAAATAATTAAACAACGCTGTCAGCGTCATCTCCAGAACTAGAATCTTCAAGACTGTCTTCTTTAAGTAAACTTTTATCTTCTGTTTGGTTTATGTTCTCGCTAAATTCTAAAATTCAAGTATTAAAGAAATATAAAAGTTAGAAGGCGCCATTATATAACCATCTAATAACGATAACTTTGATTGTTTTAAGGAAGTAAAAGTTTCTTTATAACCCGAAGTTATCTCTTTTGCTTCTGATCTGAATAATTAAAATAATATTAATAATAAAAACTTAAAGGTTATCATAAAAATTACATATTTGTTGTCCTTTTTAAAAAAGAATGTTTCAATTTCAGTTTTTCTTCTCTAAAAAAAAAAGGTTATAAAAGCAAAAACAATTGAATAATTATTTGACTCTTTTTTGTAAACGTCGGAGTCCAAAAACTTTTTGGATTGCCTTAACCTGCGCATTTCATCTTCATCATCACTCATTGTTTTTTATAAATAATACTTAAAAAATCTTAAAAAGGTATAACTATGTATTTTATAGTAAAAGAAGCACGAGATGGTAGGGCTAAGTAAAAAACTGCTTGAAGTCGGGGTTTTGCTTGTGAGCAGTGCGTAGGTGCTTGAATTTTTTTAAGAATTTGCTTGATTTATATATTAAAAAGTTTAAAGTAAACTCTACCAATATTTTTTCAGCTAAAAATAATAACTTTTTAAGATATTTTTTACAAGTTTTCAAGTGTTAGGATCTATAAAATGAGTTACTGTTAAATCCTAGTATTTATTATATATATATTGGATCAGATTATAAGCATAACTTAGTAAACTAACATTTTGTTTTACAAAGGCGAGTGTAGGGTTCTAAAAACAACTTTTCTGTTTAAAACATTTTTCACTGCATCTATGCACAGAATAAAACATCTTTAGTTGGTTTAAAAAAGTAGCGAAGAAGTAATTTTTTTTACCCACGTAAGTTTTCTTGGTCAGTCACAAAATATTTTTACATATTTAAACAATTTTTTGTGATTGAGTATTAAAACTAATATATATAAAAATTGCCAAGTAATATACTACTTCTATAAAAAATTATAGAGTTTAATAAGTCTGACGCCGTTAACTAACGTAAAAGCTTCATAAGATTAAGTTAGAGCTCTTATTTACGTCCAGGTTTCCTGTTTTTTCTTATATTGTCCGTAAGCTTTTACTTATTATTGTAATTATTTATTAAGTAAACTTGCACTTTTTTGGTTCTGGGAGTTGTTAATCCCTTTTTTCTGTTTCCAAAAAAAAAAATATCGAAAATAAAATGCAACAAAACAATCGGGCGTCATAGTTATTATAAAAACTTTTTATAAGGATTTTGTTTAGAGGGCTTATATATATGCCCAAACATTGTAACTTGTTTTATAGCCTGTCCGTTAATTTTAAAAGATGTACCAAATTTATAATTGTTTCCGTTTCTCTTATAGAGAACTCATACTACTGAAAAGTAAACGTATTTTATTCTAAATCTTTTGTTGAAGGACAATAATAACACAGAGTATGAGGCACTCTTTATATGAAAAGTTTATGGAAGTGTTAAAAGTAAAACCATTCAAAATTCGACCTCCGTTTAGCTTACTGTGAGTAAAAAGTTCAAAAAAATCAAAAATTAAAATTGAATTTTTTGTATCTAGAGTGTCAGTAGAAGTTCGGTTTTTGCTTAGCTTTATTGAAGTCGGCTGTGTTATGTTTCTTAGTTAACTTATAGCGGAGTGAAGCTCTAAACATTAACTATAAATAAAGTATGGCCTACTCACATTGAGAAAACAAAAGTAGTATGTGTTTTTTATTATTACAAAAAAAAAAATAATAGTTTGCTTTTGTTTTAACGAAAGCAACAAACATTTTAACTTTGGACATATCAAAATATCAGAAAATCAAAGTTACTACAAACAAAAACACGCACTTTTTATACAAATTTTATTTAGCAACAAGTGTTTTTGCTATAAACTTTTAGATATATTTCCGCAAGCATTTATTTGTACGTCGAAGAAGAGATTCTGCTTAAACTAGTATAAACCAAATGTTTTTGTAAAACGCCTTAATTTTATTATTTGCTATCTACCAGTTGATTTAAAGATTTTTACGTTATTAATAGCCTTTTTCAAATTATCTTTCTAAAAATGCAACTTTTCAATCAAAAGGTCTTACTTATAACAAGGTTTAATGCTAATAGAAGCGTTCTTAAATTATAGCGTTTTTTAAATCTTTGCAGTTACTACTCTTCTATAGTAGAGCCTTCTTTATGTTGTGCTTCCTTATTATCAAAAGAAACGTTTCCAGCTTTGTATCGATAATTAAATTATTTTTAAAAATCATTCATGGCCTTTTATAAATATTGTCCTATAAGCTAAGCTTTAATTTTCTTGGTGTTTAAAAAAAAAACTTTGATCGATTACTTTTTATTCTGCGTATCGTTTTTAGTAAAACCTTCAGTTGCAAATTAGATTAACTATTATTAACAATTGACTATATTTATTAAAAACAAAAGGGTGGGGAGAATTATGTTATAAATGCATCTATTAGAAATCTTAATATGATAATAACCAACAGCTCTAATAATTTAAGATGACTCTTTCACACTTATAAATATTAACAAAGCTTAATGTTTAAGCTTTCATTATATACATATTCTTTAGATAATAATTAAAGCAGGTTGTTAAATATTATAACATTATAATATTATGTAGATAACATTTATTATTAGTGAAGTTGATGATTTCGCAATTGGAGATGAGTAAAATTTTTAAACTTTTATAAAAATTTGTAACAGGTGTGAGTTTTGAAAAAATACTTCAATGGTGTTAAAAAGAGATTCACTTAACGCTTCAAGTATATTAATTTCGTAAAAATGATCTGCTTAATTAAAATAGAATATCTTCAAAAATTTCGTCCATAAAATAGCAGGTGTGAACAATGGAAAGATACTAATATGGTGCATAAAGAAATCTTAAAAGTTTCAATTTTAGAGTTATAGTAAAAATCTAGTAGAAGCAACAAACGAAATCTTAAACAATTTTTAAACAACTACAAAATTCACTGATTGTTATTACAAAAAAAAGATTTGAAAGATAACGAATAACTGATCCTATAAAACAAAACAAAGAATCCATTAAAATATAGAATTGAAAAAACTCGCAACTCTATTAAAGCTTAGCTTACTTAAAGGCTGCAAATAACCAATATAGTCCCACACTAAGGAAAAGCTGCCTTAACATTTATTTGAAAACAATAATAGTACAACCCTATTGGAAATGCTTTTAGCAAACATAATAATTTGTATAATACTACCAAAAAATCTTTAATTTGTACAATAATATTAATAAAAGTGCACAAAGGGATAAAAAACTAAAATTAAAAATTAAAAAAATATTTTTCAAAAAATTTAAAATGAAACCACTATAAAAAATATAGGACTCGTGCGTTAAAAGTGATTTTTACTCAGAAGAGGATATATTTTATAAATTGCGATAAAAAATTTAAATTTATTAATTAATCTACCATTAAATTAAATGCCTAAGAAAAATAAAAATATATATTACATAATAAAAATCTTAATCAAAAAAAAAAAAAGAAGTTTACCCATAAAATTGTTTAATTTTTTAATAAGTATCGATAAACTGAAAAAGCTAGCAAAAGTCCGAGAAATTTAAAGGAACAACTTTGAAATCGTCTTGAAAAATTTGGGGATATTCTTTAATTAAGCAAATCACTAAATTTGTAGAAAGCCCCAAATTTGGCTGAAAAACCACCGCCAAATTTTCAGCGGGCATCATATTTTTAGCTGAATTCAGATGTACAAGATGCAAATGCCTGAAATTAAAATTAAAATTTAGATAAAAAAATTATACGATAAATTTAATTTTTTAGTGTTTTTTATTAAAAAAGTAAATTTAAGTAGATTATTAAATAACTTTATGAATTTTAAAAAAATAAAAAAAAAGGAAAACTAACAAAATCTAAATGGAATAAACAGTCTAATAAAGTAAGATGGCATAATACTTTTTATATATCACAATAAAAAAAATTAAGACTCTAAAAATATTATATAATAGTAAAATGTATTATAATAACTTAAAAACTATTTATTAATGAGAAATAAGAATCGCCCATGAAAAAAAAAATTAAGCTAAATCATTGAACATTTCGAAAAAAAACCGCATTTAAAAAATATAAAATGTAGAGAAAAGGTAGAGCACAAAAAAAATAATAAAATATTTACTGCTACTTTAATTCAAAAGTATTTCTTATTGTTAATTATTTTCTTGAAACAGTTATAATAGAATTTTACAAAAATAGTGATCAGGTATAAAAAACGGATTTAAAATAAGAAAAAAATATTTATAATAAAAACTGAAAAATAAACTTCTACAAATATAATTACTAAATATTTAATTTTATGATTTAATTTATACATTATTATAAAATATTTAGTATTTAAAAAAAAATTAAGCAAAAACAGTGAACAGGTATAAAAAAACAATATTTATAAAAAATATTTAAATTATATTTATTAATTTGAATATTTAATAAATTTTTAAAAAATAATTCTTTACTTTATTCTTTGCTAATAGTAATAATAATAATAATAATAAAAACCTAAACAAAGCACGAAGGAGAAGTAAATTTCCTGGCGGTAATTCTTTTACTAAAAGGTTCAGAGCGCCAATCATCTCATCGGAATCGACTTCCAATTCTAATGAAGATATTATTTATTTTTCGCTAATTTTTAAGGCGTTTTACTTTTATGATTTCGTTATAAAAAATTTTATTTAAAAACAATAAAAAATAACAATAATATTAATAATATTTATAAAAATTTAAAAATAAAAGTTATTTTTATTTTATTTTTTATAGAGTAAATCTACTCTATAAAGATTTATCATTGGTACAATATTATTATATTTTATGATATTTAGTATTTTTTTATTGTTACCTTACTTATAATTTTATTTATTTAAACCATTATTACTTTTTATTATTATTTGTAAAAGTTTATTTAAAAATAATTATATTTATAAATAATAATTACTTAATTGTAAATAACAAGATATAAAAAAAAACATATTTTTATTAATAGTTTACTTATAATTTTATTTATTTATATTATATCTATTACTTTATAATTATTTTAAAAGTCTATTTAAAAATATTTATACTAATCATTTTACTTATAATTTATTTTATTAAAAAAAATTTATTACTTTTTTATTGTTATCTTGTAAAAGTTTATTTAAAAATAATATACTTACTAGTATTTAGTTATAATTTTATTTTTTTTGAAAAATACTTATTACTTTATTACTATATTATAATAGTTTATTAAAAAATTACTATATGTATTTTTAATAATAGCTACTAAATAGTAATTAAAAAAAAAGTACACTACTTTATTAGTTTTTTACTCTTTCTTTATTTATATAATATTAATTACTTTACTATTAATTTTAAAAGTTTATTAAAAATGATTATTATATTTATTTATTATTATTTTAGTATAATTTTACTATTATGTAAAAGTTAATTATAATTCTATTTATTATTAATAATTTATAGAAAAAGAAATAATGAAAATATATAAAATTTATTATAATTATACTTATCAATATTTATTCGATATATATTTATAATTTTATTACAATTATATTATAAAGTTTATTCAAAATAATTATTATTATATTTTAGTATTATTTTGGTTATAATTTTATTATTATATTGTAAAATTAATTCTATTTATTATTACTATTATTAAATTTTTTAATAGTAATTAAAAGAAATAAAATATAGATATATAAATATATTATTATCCTACTTATAATTTTTTTTATGTAATAAATAGTTATTACTTTATTAGTATTATACTGAAAAAGTTTACTTAAAAAAATAATTATAGTTATTATTAATATTTATAAATAGTTAAATTAAAAAATACAAAAATTATATTACAACTGTTTTTAAGGTGAATCTACTCAAAAAAAAAGTATTAAAAAATATAAAAAGTAAATAGTTGTTTCTTATTATTTTTACTCTCTATTATTATTGATTTACTTTTTATTATATAGTGTATTATATTATATTACTATTAAAAAAAAAACAAATAATTGATACAAAAAAAATTGTTTAACCTTTTAACTCGCTTAACTTCGAAGTTGGAGGAATAAAAGGTTCGGGAATTTCCTTAGAAAAATACGAAAAAAAAAGATGAAATTTTCTTGAATGTTTTGTTCATGTAAAAAATTGATCATAAAAAGTTTTTATGTTAATCTGTTATAGCCAATAAGAATCTCTTATTAGGGTATTAAAATTTCCTAACAGGCTCGCTACTAACTTTACAGCTTTCCATTAAAAAAACACATACTATTATTGGACCAATAAAAGAACTATTTATAAAAAGTTTTTATTTTGATAATCTGGAACAGCCGATAAAATCTTTTATACCAACTTTACTGGTTTTTATTAAAAAACACGTAAAAGATTGTTTGGCCAATCAATAGCAAGAAAGACAAGAAAAAAAAAATAGAAGTTAACTAGAGGACGATTTTTTTCATTCAATATATTTAACAAATAAAAATCAAAAAAATTTTAGCGCTTAATAATTCTAGACGTAAACAAAAATATAATGAAATAAACTTTTTAATCAAGCTACATCAAGAATAGTTTTACTCTGTAAAAACATTTCACCACACCAGCAACGTTGTGCGCTGTGATACTCTGAAAGTTGGGAACTTCGCCTTTTTTTGGGAATATATGATTAGCGCACGAAATATAGTAAAAGACGTGGGCCAATCAGAATTATACCCCGTTGAAAGGAATCACGTATATTTTTCATTTTTAAATGGCCTCCACTTATTCTATAGATTCCCTGCAAATTCAGTCCTTAATAATAAATGAATTAAAATAACAAACAAAATAATGAAAATATATAAAAATAGTGTAAAATAATGAAAATAAAAAAACATGTACCAAAAGTCTCTACATAGGAAAAACATAATAGCAACGGCGCAGGCAAAATTGATCCGCTGTGCGTAGCATCCGCTATTAGCGCGCCAAATACGCCTCAAAATAATAAAATTAGCCATGCAAGTTTTTTAGTGCAATATGAAATATTACCGAGTTCGTAGGGGTCTTGCTTTTCTAGCGTGGACGGAATCGCGGCTAATTGAATAAGAATTTATTGTAAATAATAATAATAAATAACATAAAAAAGTTTCTATTTATAATCAAATAGAAAAAGATTCACGAAAAAATATGAAAGTATACTCGAAACTATACTCCACTTATTTTAATGAAAGTTTTATATAATATTATGAAAATAAAAGAAAAAAATTATCACAAACAATAAAAAAAAATTAAAAAATATTATAAAATAATAAATAAAGTTAGATAAATACAATAACGAACGACAAAAATATAACAAAAAGAAAAATTTATTAATAATAAAATAAAAATTAAAAATGAAAAAAAATTATGATTTAAAAAAATTTTGAAGAAGTTTTATAATAAATATAAAAAAAGTAATAAAAATAAAAAAAAAATTATGAATATGAAAAAGAAATAAAAATTATACTAAAAAAAATAAATATAAAGAAAATACATAAAGTAGTAAAAAAGAAATAAATAAGTAATAAATAAGTAATTAAAAAAATATAAATAAAAATAATTATTATACTCAAATATAGATGTAAAGAAATAATAAAAGTAATAGAAAATACTTATATAAGGAAAGTTCATCACGTTAATTGTAGAAATATTATTGAAAAATTTACTATAAATAAAATAAAAAATAAATAAAAAATTTATACAAGTTAAAAAAAAGTAATAAAAACAAGAGAAAATAATATTATCTAAAAAAAAAATAAAAATAATAAAGATTTTATTATTTTATTTTAAAAAAGTAATAAAAAGTATATTTAATAAAAAAAATTAAAAAAAGGATAAAAAAATATATTTAAAATATAAATCAACCTAAATATTTATATATATATATAAAAAAGTAGAAAATGTATTTAACAATAAATAATATATTTATAAAAAAATTCAAAAAATTATTCTAAAAATAATATTTATGTATAATATATAGAAATAAATTTATACTAAAAAAAATTGTTAAAAATAAATATAAAAAAGTTTAATAAATTATGCTTAATGAAAAATATATTATAAGAAATATATAAAAAAAATATATAAAAAAAGTTTAAAAAAGGTACTAACGAAAATAGAAATGAATATTATTTCTAAAATTATATATATATAAAAGTTTAATAAAGAATTATATTACAAAATTAAAAGTAAAATAATATTCAAAAAAAAATAATAATAAATAAATAATATAAAAAGTTTACTATTAAAAAAAAATAGAAATAATATTATAAAAATAAATATGAAAATAAGTTTAATACGTTTTAAAAAAAAAATAATAAAAATTATACTATAAAAAATTATGAAAAAGTCTAATAAACGGTTTTAAGAAAATAAAAATAAACAAAAAATTTTAATACAAAATTTAAAAAAAAAATTAAAAATAAACGCATAAAAAGTTTAATACATTTCAAAATAAAAAAAGTATAACATAAAAATGAAAAAATAATAAGGCGAAGTAGTAATGAAGCAAAACTAAACTACGAAAAGACTGGCGCATAATTTGAAATAAAGTTAAATGTTTGCGGGAAGAGGCTGTAAAAAGAGAAACCCATGAATACAAAAAATTCACTAAATCACCAATAAACAGCAGTATTTTAGCTATAAATGTTAAAAGGACCCATTATTGCCCATTTTTGTAAGGGGGTCTTCTGATAGCCAATGAAAATATAAAATACAAAACGCAAAAACCGTGAAGCGAATGAAGCGAAGAATAGGCGGTGGTTTTTTTCGGGAACTTCTGAAGGTTTTTCTAATGATAATAATTATTATAAAAAATACTGAAGCAAAACTTTTGATGAATAATAAATATATAAAAAGTAGAATGAAAAAAACAAAGCGAAATTTTAATGAATAAAAAAAAAGTAACCTCCGTCACTGAAAAAAAGTTTTTATCTGTCCGAGTTGGTGACAGCTGTTTGGCAGTGTCACTTCCAATAGAAGGCATGCTTTTTTGGCTCTTGTCTAAAGAATATACTTAATGCAGACAATTAAAAGAATTATATAGAAAGAATAAAACATATTTACATTAAAAGGTTAAAAATCTCTTTAAATAAAAACAATAAACAGTAAAAATGATAAAGTTTATAAAATAGTAAAAGTATTTATAAAGAAAAAAAAGGAAATATACTTGCAAATATAAACGTATTTGTATAAAAATAATAAATATAAAAAGTAATCAAGTTGATAATAACATTTATTTTGTAATTACAATCTATTAAAAAATAATAAATGTATATATGTATAATAAAGAAAAAAGGATAAATATACTTGAAAGTAAAAATAATATTAAATATAAACAATAAAGTTTATGTTAATAATAATAATAGCAAATTACAATAAGAAAGAGGATTACGAAGAGTTTTCGTTATTTTCTTTGATAATCTCGTAACGAGATTATTTTTTTTGGGGTGAATTTCAGTAGCAACCATCGGAGGTTGCGCAGAAAGTAATAAAGTTTCTAATAATAATAAGTAACATTTGAAAAATTGTGGATCGAGTTTGATAAAAAGTAAAACTCGGCGTTCAAGTTTTTTAATGAAAAAAATCAAATTTCTTGATTAAAAAAAAAAATAGATTATTTAAATATTTATTATATAAAAAAAGTTAATAAAATTTATTAAATAGTAAAACTTCTTGATTATTATCAGAAATAATTTTATCATATTTAATATAAAAAGTCAAACAAGTTTTATTTAATACTGCTCGATACTAAAATATATAATTCAAATTTGAATTCATAGAAAAAAAAGTTTGCAAGTTGGCTAAAAAGTAAATTTACTTTAGAACAAGTTTTAATAAAAAAAGTAAATCGTCTCGTTTACGATAAAAAAATAAATTAAAAACTTTTTAGTAATAAAAAGAAAAATAAATAAAGAACAAAATATAAAAGAAAATAATACTTTCGACAATTTCAATATTATTATTACTAAAAAAAAAAAATACATGAATAAAAATAAATATAAAAACTTTACTACTATCATATATTTCTCATATAGTAAAATGTAAAAACTCATCATTAACCTGAAAATAAAATAATATTTATTTTTTATTATTTATTGTTATTAATATAATCTTTATCAAAATAGTAAAAAATAAAGTAAATTACACTCGTAAAGAGTTACAATAAAAAATACCGGCGGGGCAGCAGCCCGGACAATCCCAGATGCCCAACACCTTGATATTGCCAGCAGAATCAGTAAAACTATTGAAGATATATGATTGGTCGTTAGAAATCCAGTAAAAAACTTTATTACTTTTATGTCTTTGATTGGTAGCGATTAAAGTAAAGTTTATTCATAAAAGTTTTGTATGGAATTTATTGAGTTACAATTTATAATGTTTTTAGATTTCATTTTTATTATAAACGTCGTTATTATTATAAAAATAAGTAAAAAGGAAATTTACAATAAATATGATTTGCGCATAGATTTATTATAAGTAAAAATATTAATCGCGTTATATTAAACAATAATTATTAATAATAAAAAATAACAAAAAGGATTAAAAAAATATTATATCAATAAAAAATTTTGAATTATAATTAAACAATAATTTGTTAAAGTATAAATCAAAATAAATAATAGAATTTAACAATTAAAAATAGTAATTAAGAATAAACAATCATAAAAATAATAACAAACATATTCATTACAATAATAATAATTATTAAAAAAAATATTTTTTCAAAAAGTATTATAAATAATAATTTATAAAAAAACGTAAATTATAAAATTAAAATTACTTTCAATAATTTTTTTTTATTTATAATAATAAAAGATTTTGATTTTCAATTTTCAATTTATATAAAACGTAAAAAATAAATTATTATTAAAAATGATTGACGCTTAAATTTATTACTAATAAAAATAAATTGTTTAATATTTTTATTATTAATGATAATTTAGAGTTCAAACAATTATAATGATTAAATTTTCTTAAGAATACTTTGAATTTTTAAATTAATTTCAGTAATTCACAAGAAAATTTATTTTATATATTTTTTACTAATTTTTTTTGTTTACAATAAAAAAAGATTTGATTTTTATTGAAATTATAAAATCAAGTAATAAGGAATTTATTAATAAAAGTGGTTCACGGTTAAACTTATTTTATGTAAAAATAATTTATTAATTATTATTAGAATTTATTAATTTTCTTTACTTTTCTAATAAAAATAAATATAAAACTTGTATTTTTATTCTTAAGCGCGTTAACCTCAACTGATAGTCATCTAAATTTTGATTATCCAATCGATTAAGCCGAGATAACGAGAATTGCAGAATGTGACGGACAAATAGCATACAAGACACCTTAAAGTGAATTTATAAAAAAAAACTGTAATAAAATAAAAAATATTAACCACAGCACAAGATAATTATAAAAAAAGGTATGAAAACTAAATTATTTGAAGTAAATTCTGCTAATTATTAACTTTTTTTTATAAATTATAATATTTACAACAAAAATGAGAGTGTGACGAAAGAGTGTTAAATTATAAAGAAATCTACATGAAAGGAAATCTGATAATAAACTGCATAACAAAATACGAAGTAGACGAAAAAACAATTTGAAAGAAATGCTGGAAAACTTATAGTTATAAATTTATAAACACGTAAATAAAGTTTTTTTTATTTGCCATTTTTATTTTTTATTTTTTTTGCTTTAGTACTTAATTTTAATTTTTAAAACTAGATAAAATTATAAAATCTTCCAGAAATGAAGGATGAAATCTAAATATATAAAGAAATCAACAAGATAATGACTAATTAAACCGCAGAGCAATATCTGAAGTAGACAAGAAATCATTTCTATAAAATGCTAGAAAAATTAATATGTAAGTAGTAAAATAATTTGATTAAACCTCATTAATAGTAAATTATAAACTTTGCAGAATGTGCAGAATGTGCAGAATGTGACGGACGAATAAAAATTTATAAGTTAATTAAAAAATAATAAAACTCAAAGTATACCAGAATTCCATTTAAAAAGAATAAATTTTTTTAAAATCCCGCATATAAAAATTCAAATTTACTTTTTACGATAAAAAAAAACAGAAATGCATAAAAATAGCAGAATTAAAGAAAACCTCCACAACGACTGTAGCTGGAGTCCCCTTAAAATTAGATTCAATTTTCAAGTTTCTTCTTTCGGCCTATAAAAGCAGTAATTATTAAAATCTTAATAAGAAAGATTTTCGAATTTTTTTAAACCCTTTTTACTAAATTTATAACTTAAACTAAATTCATTCGTGGCTTAATTAAAAATTTTAACTTAGAAATTTAACGGTGTTAAAAAAAATTATATTTAGTCTTTATAAGAATCTAACAAAAAGTAAAAATTAAACTTGAAGATTGTAATTTGAGTATATTAAGTATTATATAAATATATAATCTACCATTGACTCTTAAAAGATTATAATAAAAATTTTCAATCTTACATAGTTTATATTAATCAAGCCCTTTAAAATTTATATTATTGTTAATAATATTAATAGTACACTTATTATTATTACTATTCTTTTCTATTTAATTTTATTTAAAAAAACTACAATTAAGTCATAGTTTCATATTTATTACTGTTATTACTATATAAATTTTTATTATCACATTTTTTATAAATATTATTACTTTTTTATTTATAGCAAATAAAATATTATATAATTTACAAATTAAGAAAAAGATATTAAGTTTGTCCGTCATTTTTAAAAATATAAGCAGAATAAAATCTATAGTTGATTAAAAAAAAGAAACTAATAAATAATTAAAAGTAAAAATCTTAACTATAAATTTCCATCTTATAATTTACTTAAACAATTATAGTAAAGCCGGAGAATAAATTTATTTATAAATCAGTTGAATTAGAACGAACGTGACAAGAATGTTCACACAAGTAAAATCTAGAACAACAATCTTCAAAAGAGCCAGAAGATCTCGATAAAAGCGGACTTTCGTCAGGTGAAAAAATTCTCTCTTCAACTGTAGAACAGATTAAGGAGGATAAAACATTTTTAAAAATTAATAAATTTATAAATTTAAAAAGTTATAATTTAAAAAAAAAGTTGTAAAGATAAATTGTGAAGAAATTTTCTCTACAAGCGGGAAACAGAATATTTGAAAAATATAAATAGTTAAAAAAATTTAAAAAAATTAATTATAAAAACAATTATAGTATGCGATTATTTGTAGAAGTTTATAAATAGTAACGTTGAGTATTTTTACAAAATATTTAAAAAAAATTAAATAATTTAATAGATTTTTAAATAAAAATGTATTGTGTAAAATGTTTATTATTAATGAAATCGAACGTTTTTTTAGTAATTATTTTGAGAGGAAATTAATAAGTTTAAAAAACATCCTAAAAAAAATAATTTGAAGACTAAAATGTGATAAAAACTTTTTTTATTACCACATCCTTGACGAATCCAACGCAAAGAAAAAGAAGTGAAGTTTATATCCGCGCTTAGAAGATTTGAAAATAATAAAAATAGTTCCCGAGTAGTGATTGATGAAGGCAATAACATTGAAAACTCTACGTGCTAAATACATTTGACTAGTAAAACTCTTATAACTTGCAAAAGAAATTTAATAAGAAAAAAATAATTTTTAAAACTTATTAAAAAAGATTTAAGTAGAAAAAATATTACTAGTAAAACTCTTGAAAACAAAAAAATTATGGAGGAAATTATAAATTAGTAAAACTCCCTAAAATTACAGAACAATTTAAGTAAAAAATTTTTTAACTAGTAAAAGACTTATTACTTTGAAAAAATCCTTAAGTAGAAAAAAATTAATCAGTAAAACTTTTATTATTTAAAAAATTAGAAAAAATTCAATTAGTATATATTTTTATTACATAAAAGTTTTAAGTAAAAGGAAATCTGGGAATACAAGTTGCAAGAAAATTACCGTAAAATAATTTAATTCCCCTTTTTTTGATATATATTTATTTAAAGAAGAAAAACGAGTGTAAAAGTGTGCACATTGGCAACTGTTAACAGTTGAAATAGAAAAAAAACTTGGCGCAAAATATAAATTTGCTGCCTTCCAAAAGTTGAAGGGAGTAGAAATAGTAGCTGAAATAATTTATTTAGGAAAAACTTTGTTATTAATAGAAACTCTAATGTTAACATATACTTGATCTTTTCAAAGTAACGGCAGAATCTTTTTTTTTTCCTTTCAAATCTTGCTGTGAAGATTGTTTATAGTTTCGCGCTTCCAAGCCCAATATTTTAAAACGCAACTTCGAAGCCAATTTCTTACTTTTTGCGTAAAATATATTTCTTTGTTCCAAATTATCATTCAACGATTTACTATACTTTGGGACTGCCGCAGAGGGCTCTACTGTTTCCTGCACAGCAGCCATTTTTAAACCAAAACAACGTTATCAATATTCTGTCCTTTTGATACTTAGCTAAAAGTCAAAAAGTAGAGCTCATTAAAAAAAGTATAAGAAAAAAGCTAAAGTTTTACCTTCTTTTACAGCTGAATGCCCTTCCACACTAAGAAAGACGCAAAAAGGCAAGAACCAAATACTTTTACAGCACTTTTTAAAATATTGGCCACAACTTTACTCTTTTCGTCATCCAATATAAAAGTTATGCGTTTTCTTATCGTCAAAGAGGTTTTTACTGCTCTTTTGAATTATTAAAACATTTATTGTACGTTTAAATATTTCATAAGGAAAATATTTTGGATTTTAATTTTAACCTTAGTAAACTTTAAAAGAAGTTTGGTTATTAATAAAATGTCTTTTAAGGGGGTAGCCTTAAACGTAACCTTTTATGCTTTACGAAACTCTGTGTGCACTATTCATCGGCAGCAGTAGTTCTTACAAAAGTTTTTATTTTATATTTCAATCTTTCAACCATTTTTTTCCAACTTTTCTAAAATATTAAAGTTACTAAAACCCACTTTATCTGATTTTTCAAAGAGATGTCCACTTTTCAATTTAACTTATTTAGTAAAGCTCTTTACAAGGTCAAAGATACCTTAATTAGCTAATTCATGCAAAGCTTTATTCACACTGTACTCAGTTACGCGTACTCTGGAAATTATTCCACTAACTTATAACTGCTATTATCTTTTACCTAAATATACTTCTTTTTTTACCAAAACAAAAAGGTTATCTATACTTTACACCAGAAGTTAATGTGTTGCCAATGAAATTAGTAAGAAAAAATTTTTGTTTGTATGCCCCGTTTATGCGTGCACTAAATTCGCTACAAAAGATTGCCTACTTAAAAAAAAGTTGTAAACTTGGCGCTTTATAGTTTAATTATAAAAAAGAGAATACCAAAATAATAAAAATTTTTTTTTAAATTCTTAAAATTCTACATGCGAAGTTAATAAAGGCTTCAAGTTTACGATAAACAGGTGTTATAATATATATATATATTATTTATTGGTCATTTATTATCATATAAACGTAATAACAGTTTTGTTACCAGGAGTATCGATTTTTTAATTAGAAAATTAGATGTTAATCAAGCCTACGTTCAATAATACTATAAATGAATTACCAAATCAATAAACTTAAGCAATTATTTAATCATTAAATATTTTGGAAGAGTCATTACTCATAAATTACTCTTCATACCAATATTGTGAATGAGTTAAACACAACGCTTGCCATGTTTTTACTAAAAATAAAATTCAACATGTAAATTCCATCGAATAGGTTTCTCCAAAAAAGAGCTTGACCACTTTGAAATAAGAAGTTTAGATTTAGAACCAATATTAAGGCCTAAACACATCAGGTTTACCAAAAAAGTTAAATTTAAAAAATGAAAACTACCATCTAAAGTCCCGTAAATATTATTGGAGCTGATATTTTTGAATTTGAAGAAAAAGATTTACAAGCACAATTTCTGTATATATATATATACCTTTTTAAACAGTTATACTATCTTATTCTACAGAAGGAGGGCTGTGTAAAAAAAAAAGAGGCAAGCATTATAGCCTAAAGGGTGATGGTTGATATGCTTTACACACATATGAATGCTGAGCGATAGAAGTAAATATATGAATAAGATAGTTACAAAGGCAACAATTTGATGTTTTCCATGACTTTTTAGAGATAAAGAACGGGAGACGAGCAAGGCCGAGCCACTCCACTTAAAATTGAAAAGCTGGTCAACTACTTTATATTACAGTAGCACAAACTTTTTTATGATACTTGCCCAAGCATATAACAGTAGTATTAATATAAAGATAAAACCGAAATCAAAGCCTAAATAATTAATGAACTTGAACTCTATAAATTACTTTACTTATTAACATAGATTATAATATCGGAAGAAATAAGAACTGATAGAAGCTCCAAACACCTTAACATTATGAGGAAGATATTGAACAATGGGGAGTAGCCTTGACAAAAAAGACACTAAGGCTCATCTCGGTATAATAAAAGCTAAAGAAGCTTATTCTCGATATGTATGAAGGCCAGAAGTATATTAGAACAAACAAAACAATGATTAAATGAATTCGTGGTACCGCTTTCATGAGTAACCAACTTTTTAAAAACTCCAATGATATATGCGGTGCAAAATGTTAAAGCATAAAATACAAGTTTTTAGTTTGTGGAAACCTCATATCCCGACCTATGAAGGATTTCTTATAGCAATACTTAATTTTTTTTAGTAAAAAAATACACCTTTCTAAATAAAAGAAAACATTTTTAATTGGTAAGTTCATATATTTTTTTATTTTTAAAAAAACAAGTATTTTTACTCGTCTGCAGCTCATGTTATATGGCACGAATCATTAAGGTTTGCAAATGTTAGGCTTCGTCTTAAATCGAGCTTTTACAATAATACTGCCTATTTATTAATTTCTTTTAACAAAGGGAAAGCATTTACTTTTGGAATACACAGCTTTTTCAAGAAAGGTTCTCTTCTTAAACACAGTTTACTCCGCAATAGTTCGATGTGGTTTAGTCAGGACTGTATAGGAACCAATCAGGGACAAAAAAGCCCGGATCTCTTTGTCCTCACTGCCTATTTGTCAAATATGTTTAATATAGTTATCAAGCTGGAACGGAATCCTTCTAACTATATTAAAAAAATTAGTTAAAATAGCATTAGTAATAAATTTTAAAAGCAGTCTATCGCATTAAGAAACATCGTTCAATTTTATTAGAAGGCGAGGATATTAGATTTTTAAAAAATGTAACTTTTAGTCGTATCTTATGAAATAAATGGTATCCGACAATTTTTTTTTCCCTAGAATTTTGTAAGGTAATCATGAGGGTCTTCTCTATTTATAACTATAATGGAGGTTACTCTGCTCAGCCTTAGTAAGTTATACTTATCAGTGTTCGTCAAAAACGCACAAGTTGAGACCTTTCTTGCTAAAAAGCTTGTCTACACCTCGCATTTTTAGCATTATTTGATCATAGTCAAAAAATTATTCTTGACCGAAATATATAGCCGAGAAAAATACAAAGTAGAGTGGTGCGAAATAATGCTACAAATATCAGCTTATAGAAATATTCGCGAGGATCAGTCCGGGAAATGCGAAATCCCCTATAGTTAAGGGTAGGCTGCTTAATGCACGCCGCTCTGGGACAGTAACTTTCTTATAATGTTGTACGACACACTTCCAAATCCGCATCTGCTGAGTTGTTAACAATATTTATCTTCAAGAGTTTTGCGTTTGAAACGCGAACTTCCCAAGGTCTTGCTCAATTCTGAATGAAAGTTTTCACACGGGAGTAGTTCTATGGGCGCCGGTAAACACAATTCCCTGGCATGTGTGCTACTAGTTCCACAATTAACTATAGAGAAGGCTTAAAATCGGATATTCAAAACTTCAGTTGCTAGTAGGAGGCAGAGACGGCGTGTACTCTTAGTTTTAAGCTTAAAATTAGTCTTCGCTTCGCGCACATTTTACCTCACAGAATGTTATTATTACCAAGAAATTGCTTTTTTACAAAACTTTTTAAGTTCTTAAAATTCGGCTTCTTTGCTGTGGTAGGTAATTCGTTAATAAGGCAATATTTAGTATTGGCTTCTCTTGAATGTTTGAAAGCTGATTTTATGGACTCACTCTATCCCACGGGATATGTAATATTGGGGTCTATATTTTTTGCTACTATTAAAGAGCAAAGTCGTTTATGCTCGAAAAGAGAAATTGAAGTTTCCTCTTGTTATATAATAAGGACCTCCCTTTAATACCTTTTTTGCTTATTTTCTTACTTAATATTATAAATTGGTTCATTTTAGAAAAAACTAAATATCAAGTTATGCCAGATACTAAAGAGCTGTATCGACGAGTAGGGTTGGTTTTTTTTCAATCTTCCAGCAGCTATATAACCCTTTAGCTCTTTCTTCAGCAGCTTTCACGGACCAAAGTTTTCGCGTATTTCATATATATTAGGCAATCTTATTTATTGATTATCCTAACGGGAATAGTTTATAAAAGTGAGGTATAAGTAGGTTTTGCGATTGGCGAGAGCTTATAAAAGAAGATCTACTAAAATTCATAAAAGGAAAACAGAAATACTCTGCGTACAAGCTATAGACTCTAAGATATGTAACAAATATAAGTATTTTTAATAAGACGCCAGCAAGAGGCTTCTGTCCTTTTGTCTTGTCACAGGCCAAATTAATAAATTTTATGTTCTTTTGGTATTCCGTAAGAGGCGCTCTAGTTAAATTTATATACCGTTGGGAACCTAAAAGACAACACAAACAATTTTTTATTACTATTATAAATCCAAAAGGCACCTGTAACCAAACATTTGATAAAAACACAAAAAGACTGACTTCCACACCGGCAAATTTTCATGTGGGCAATAAAAATTTATACACCAAAAGTTCAACACTATTTGATGACACCAAACAGGGTTTTAGTTATTAAACTTTTCAAATATATTATAAAGATTGCTTAACTTTGCTTCTACTTAAAAAAAAAATTAAAAAAATTACGTCTGACGGATTTAAGCTAGCATAGGCTCTATTACATTAAATTAAATGGCTAAATCTTGGAAGCTAAAAGTTACCATAACTATACTTTATATATGAAGTAACGCGCACAAGAAGAACTAAAATTTTAAAATGGTATATATATGTGTGTTTCAGAGTGAAAAAAAAATACATTTCTTAAAAGATAGTTAAGCGCAATTATGGCTTATATTGTTTTAACAAGTTTTTTGACATTTACATAAGCCCCATTTCTTGATGTATACACAAAATTACTAAAGCTATTACTATTTCAAAAAAAAATGTTAATATAATATTTCATTTACAAAATTTAAACACGTTTAGAGATTACTTTAAAAAGTACAATTCTTTATTATGAAGTAAAACTTAAATAATTCAAAAAGGTATATGTTTAAAAAGTAAATTGAAAGAAAAAATTGGTAGAATTTAAGTTACAATTTAGTCTTTTATTATCCGCCACGACACGTTTTTTATTTACCTCCTGCGCGTCGCTGGTTTATCGTTTTTAGTTTTTTTTTTCCATTGAAGGCGGTTTAGCTTGTATGTTTTTTGCTCTGTAGTTGCTTTCATGCTTAATCTACCCCTTCTATACGGTTACAGATTAAAAAAATAATCAAACATGACGGAATCGTACCAAGTTCTAGCCCAAAACTTTGTTAACTTTTATTACTCAAACTTTATTACTAAAAACTGGAGGTTGAAAGTTAAAGCTATTAACTTTTTTTTTAATGCTTTCTGTTATATATGACAGCCAACTGGGGAGTATCTTTCTCCCAAATTCCTTAATGACATACGATTCTAAAGAACTCTTGGGCACCGAGGCCATACTATCTCAGCTAAGCTCCTTGCCTTTTAGCAAAGAAGTGAAGTACAATCTTACTTTGGTTCAAGTACAACCTGGCCAAAGTCCAGAACTAATTCTTATAGCCGTTTTAGGAAGATTTCAGGTAACTTTCCGTTAATACTATTTACTGCTGCTGTTATTAGTCTTTCCTAGGATGGCCAAGATGCACCCATTGGATTCTCTCAATTTTTTCAACTAAAGAAAGAAAGTAATGGCTGGTTCTGCACAAACACTCTCTTTCATCTCCACTTTCACAACTGTTGAAGCTGTCAATAAAAATTTCGTAATTTTACCATCCGCATTTACCTAAATTATTTTTATCGTTATTGATTTTTAATTTACTGTTAATATAATAGTTTATACCTTTTTTTTAAGTTATAAAAAGTTATTAGACAGTTTACCAACTACAGACTTTTAAAGAATTTTTCAATAAAATACTATATACTTTTACTTTTATTGATATATGGAGATCGAATGCATCAGTTAAAATAATTATAAAAATCTGCAATTTACGACTTTTTCCAAATGTTCGTAATTATATATAAATTTATTAGTTACAAGGAAGCGATCTTTTTATAATATAAATTTTAAGAGTTAAATTTTTTTTATAACGTAATATTTTTATATTTTTATGTAAAAGTTTTTTATAATAAATTTATACAATTCGTTCAATTACATTTTTATTGAAATAAAGTGCTCACAACTATAGACAAGTATTACTGATGATCATATTAAAATTAATTACTCTTTAGTTGTTATATTTTTAATTTAAAATTAATTTTCCATTGCTAAGCTCTACTAAGTTCGTGCTTTCTTTAAAGATAAGCTAAATTATTCACTTCTTTTAGTATTCTTTACTCAAATTACCTTTTTTATATTATAATAAAAAAGATGAACGCAAGCCAATATCTTTTTGTAATTTGTTTTACTATACTTAAATAAAAAATAAATATAATTTTATTATGTTAAAAATCTTTAATGAATTTATATCTAGCTTCCGAGTTTAAAATGCTTTTGAAGCCTGCAAAGTTTATCATAAAAGCTTGAAGTCTTCAATAAAAGTCGTATAAAAATCTTACAAATAATTTTTCCGAAAAGATTCATAAAACAAAACTTTTGTGCTTTTTATAAGCCGAAGCATTTCGTTGCGGATCAGCATATCCCGCAGTAAAACAAAATCGCAGTGCTCTGGATTTTCAATTTCGGCCGTCTTTATTATAAGCGGTGTCCCATAATAATTTTTTTAATCAAAAATTAAAAAGACTGTACTCCCGCAGAACACTTCCTTATAAGTTTTCCTTCCTCGTAAGCATCACTGCCAATCACGGCGTACGGTATTCCTGCCTGTCCATTCAAAATAGATGCTTATTGGTAATTTTTTTTCATAAACTATAGAAATATAAGAACAAAAATAATCGTAGAAATGTCGAACAATTATAAAATTAAAAAAATAATCAAAGCTAAAGCTTAAAAAGAAATTTAGTCAAATAAATATAAACATTGAAGTTAACAATTTTTAACAACTTTTATAATCTCGAGCTCTTCACTGCTGTATTCATTTTTTGTATAGAGTGGGTAAATTTCAATTTGATGGTACCGCAAATCCTACATTTATTAATAACTTTAAAAAAAAACCTTTTTTAAATAAAAGTTCATAATAACCCTGCTTCCTTACTTTTTTAAAAAAAAGATTTAAACAAAAAGTCATAAACAAAATAACTTCGTTGATTCTTTTTTTGAAATCTGCAAGTTCATCGCGTGTTAACGTGTCGGCTTTGGCTATTAAAGGAATTATATTGCAAAAGCGGCTCAACCTTTTCAGCGCTAACACAAATAAATTACTTTAATGATAATAATATAAATAGTAATCAAAATAATAAAAGTTTAATTTGTATACATACTTAAAGTACTTTGAAAAAAATATATATATACAAAAACAATTAAGAGTATTTACCTTTAACATCGACTGCTTTCAAGCAGTGGCCGGTAGGCATCACAAAATACAGAAGGCAGTGCACACGTGTATCAGAGATGTAGCTGCGACAACGGCATAATAAACCAATAGGATTGGAGGAAGCAAGCAACAAAGTAATAAAAATTATGGAGTCATTACGGTTTGCGCTCAGGTTTGATTTCCTCTAGAAGATAACTTTCATATTGGTTGCAAATGTACTCCACTATTGGCTCCCAGCATTCGGAGTTGTCCACGTGGTCGGCAAACCCTGAAAAAAAAATTGGCCAACACTAAGTGACACTCGCTCGGAGGCCACCTGGAGTGTCTGTGATGGTCAGCTTGACTCGCACGCCTTTTTCTTCAATGACGTGCGCAACGGAGCGAATTGAAGTGGTTTGCGGAGGCCGAGGCGTAACCTCCTCGCTGCCCTCATCGTTGTCATAGTCTTCAAAATCATCAAAAACTTAATAGTTTCATTATTTTTTTGAAGCACTGAAAAAACTCAAAAAAATGTATTATAATGAAAAATAAAATCTACGATCGTCAGTCGTTGTATGTCTACTTTTCCTAGCAAACTCGCCTTTAAAGAGGGTATTAATAAAAGTGGACTTTCCCAGGCCACTCCGTCCTGAAGGTTTGAATAATAATAATAAGTTAATAAATAATTATAATGCCTTTTACTAATATTAAAGAAAGAGAAAATAAATAAAGCAACTAAAAGTTTTACAAAAAAGTATAGAAACAGAAATTAAAGGAAGACTTTCAGTCAATCGATTATCATAATTTTTATATCAACCACTAAAAAATGCGGCAGCAGTAATAGTGATGCGTACAATAATACTCACCAACAACCATAATATTATACTGAATTCCTTCTTTGCGAATTTCTTTAGAAAACTGTTCGGTGAGCAAATCGAAGCCTACCGGGCCGTTCCCTTTCGAGGTCAACGCTCTAATCAATATAATTTTTTTTTCATATAATTATAATAATAATATAAAAGTAGTTTAATATTCTTTAACGCAAGTAATAATAAAATAAATAAAGTTTACAATTCTTTTATATAAATAATAATATGAAAATAGTTCGATATTTTTTATAGAATTAATATTATAAAATAACTAAAGTTTGAAAAATATATGTATAATAGTTATAAAAATATTAAAATGTTCTTTTATATACTTAATATTAAGAAAATAAAAGAAAAATGATCGCTTATACTTAATTAAATAAAAAAAAATAACGCAAAAAATAAATAGTAAAAGTTTAACTAAACTTTTTGCAAACGAGTAAATAGCGTATCATAAAAAAATGTAGTTAAAACTTAAATCAGAAAAATGTCAAGTTATAGAATTAGTAATGAGAAAATATAAAATATACATGAATTATAGTTTTTCTTAAAAAAATAAATTAAAAAGTTGTGAACTCACACACCCCCACTGGAAATTTCTGCTATCTGTTAAGTAGGACAATACAATCGAGCGGTAAAGAGCATAATCGAGTTTCACGCCTGCTAAATTTTAATGAAGAAAAATAAGGAAAAAAAATCAGCTCAACTTTAACACGAAAATTAATCTAATTTGCATAAAAACAACGTGAAACGATTTAGCAGATTCACAACTTTTTATAGAAAATTTAAAAATTGCCTTCAATTTTTTTCAATGTTTTCTCGTTGTCCTCGAGGCGAAGTTTTCCAAACAGATTTAAAAATAATTCGGGTAAATTATCTCCAGAAATTTGCTGTTCTTCGTTACAGTATTCTTCAAAAGCTTTACAGAGCGCTATAAAGACAGCGAAACAATTGAAATCTTTAAAACATTATTAATTTATATTACAATAATAAAAAGTTAAAGAACAGCAAATAAATAATATCTGTTATAAGGAAATATATAATAGTAGCAGAATTAATAACTTAGATTTTAATAAAATCAAGAGTTTCATTTTTTATATTTTTTGTAGATTTTATATTAAATTTACAAAAAAAATTTAAAAGTTTAAAGAAAAAAGTTCTTTATTATATACTTAATTTTATAGAAATAATTACTTAAGATATTACTTTAAAGCTAAACTTGAAATAATTAAAAAAAGTTAGTTTACTTTTTAAAAGCTAAATAAAAACTTACCACAAATGTGCATCTACACACAAACTTTTTTGAAATAAGAAAACATAAAATTGAACATTAACAGAACTTAAAGCAAAATTATATAAAGTATAATATTACATAAAGTTAAAAAAAATTTAACTATATAGAAAAAATTAAAACACCTTTATATAAACTAAAACTACTAAAAGTAAAAAATATAAAAATTTTACTCTTTTATTTTATAAAAATATATATGAACATTCTTTTAAAGAAAAATAATAATACCTTCTTCATTTTTAAAGGAAAGTTCTATACATGGTACGGAGATATCCTGTGAAAAATTCATATTAAATAAGAGGAAAAGGAAAGAAGAACATTAAATTAATAAACAACCAAAAAAATAGTTTTTAATTATAATATACAATTTCTTCGGTAGGCATTGCGGTAGAAAAGAATGTAAACTAAATTTTTTTCAAAAGTCAGCTAAATAAATTTTTTATAAAAAACTTGTTAAAAAAAATTTAAAAGTAAAAATAAACAATGAAGTAAAACTATTAAAAGTTTTGAAGTTCAATACTTTATGTAAAGCAATAAACCCGTTATAATACTATAGAGAAAAACGTTAACTTTCAAGTTTCTTATAGTGGCAAAAGATAACAGTTTTTTTTAAAAAAATGAACAAACAGACTAAAAGGTTCCTTTTTAGGATAATTTAGTCCTTTTTTGTTTTTTAGATTGGAATAGTTCTTTAATTATTTCGTTTAACTCATTTCCATTAAAGTGTTTAGTGTTCGTCTTCTTTACTAAAAGTAGTTTTTTTAAAGAACGATTGTTACTATTCTTACAATGTTAAAAATTTTAAAATTGTTGAAAATTTTTAACTTTTTTTTAAATATGAAAAACTTATTACTGCCTTAAATTTGGTAAAGAGAAAAAGACCATTTTATTGAAGAATGAGTAAATTAGTCATTTTAACGGTTTAACTAAGAGTAAGGGAGATTAACTAAACTTTTTTTTTAAATAAAGAGATATACTTTGTTGCGCGTAAAAGCTGAGACACAACTAAAAAACAAAACCAGAATCTTTTCCCTTTTCACTCGGTAATGCACAGCCTTCTGTTTGTAATAGCAAATTGTATATTAATTTAACTCTAGAAGCCTACTTACTTAGTGTAACGTAATAGATAAAGCAATTTTAAGCGATTGTTATCCTATTGAGTTTAGAACAGCTTTATAAATAAAAAAATATATTATGCCCAGATAGTTGGAACACAAACCTTTGTGCCAAGGAACTTCGAGCTTACAGAGAAGGCATGCTAGACACGTATGAAGATAATAATAAAACCATGTCAGTGTCTGCTGTAGTAATTTTTTAAGTTCTGCTCCTACGCGGGCCATAATGGGTTTATTGCTGAAAAAATGACTTTGCATTTCGTAACAAATATGAGGAAATGCACAGTTGATCATTTTATATTTAGCATCCTCATTTCGTGCCCTGTTAAAAGTTTTCTGAATGTCTGAAAAATACTAGGACGGTGTATTTTTTGGAATTGAGGGTGTTAGTAGCGTTTTTCATCAAGCTTACGATTTTTTTAATGGCAGAACGGCTTCTTCAAAAACCTAACTAATAAGCTGAAATAAAAATTTGCAACCTTAAGAAAAAAATATAAGCTTGTGAGATTCTTTCTAGCGAAAAAGTATGCTTATTATAAAATTCTTAGCGCGCTTGTTCAGCAGAATGTTTTTAATATAAAACAGATTAAGCTATTTCCATTGTAATGATTAGGCATAAACAAAAATTAAGTTAATAAGCTCTACCTGTGTTAAAACGAATCACACAGTTTCATTTATTTTTGAATATTTACTTGTTTATTTTGCTTATCAATTATTGCAAATATACAGTCTCACAAACAAACTTAGAAGATAATTCACATTAGCCTGTGCATGTAGCTCCCTACAATAAAGTTTATGCTTTTGCTTCTAGCTGTTGGCTTCTTGCTAATTGCTTTGGTTAAGTTACCTCCAGTTAACAGTATGATAAAACAACGGCATCCACTGAGAGGAACAAGGGACCACAGGCCAGCAACTAGAAAGCAAAAGCCTACAACATTTCTTTTTTATTGTAGCATTGGCATACAACGGCCGGTCTTTTTACTAAAACCTTTAGCCGCTTAGACTGAGTCCTACGTTCTGCAGGGGCTGGAGCACGAGCGCAACCAGTGCTCGCCCGTTACAGAGCAATAACGACTGCCCCGAAGACTGAAAAACGACTACAATCACATCTTAAGATTAGGGTTTATATACATGTTTATGGTAATCTTACCAGTTATTACCTCCAATAAAAACGTACTAATGTTAAATTACATTAATTGATAAGCAACGTAAACAAACAAAGATGTAAATATGTAAACCGCATGATTAATTTTAACACTCCTTTTAACAGTAAATGTTTGCAGTAACTTTAAGCAATATTTTTAAATTTTCTGGCTTTTTAAGTCTTTAGTTTTAATTTTAGATTAGATCTCATCTATATTCATGAAGATTACCATTCTGGATGATGGGTGGACCCGCGCAGCCGAGAAATAGTAAAATGTGTTCTTGTATATGTGTATATTGTGTAACCTAGCTGCAGATAATTTTCGTATATTGTCAATACAAAATGTCAGCTTCTTTCGGAGCTTGCGTAGAAAGCAGGTTTAAACAGATTTTTAATCTTCCCAAAGTATTGTTGGAGGTCATTAAAAATTATATTGTATTTTTTAGAATCACATTTTGAAAGACTCCCAGTCCCCGAATAACGGTATAACTAATATTTTAAAGGTTAATTATTGCCAGAAGCCCTTCTTTTTATGTGTTATCTTTTTAAACGGCGTCATTTAAAGTTAAGCTCTTTGACGCAAAGAGAGAAATCAAGGAATTAAAGAGGGTAACCTATACAACCTTGTCGTAAAAGAAAGTCTTTTGTACGAAGAAATTAAAATAATGTTAAAAGATGATAAGAACCAATGAAAACGAATTTTATGTAAAAGATGCATAATTAACACAAAATAAACAAAAAATAAACAAATATGTAACTGCGTGATTCGTGATAAATAATTTTTATTATTGAAAAACAACTTTTTTTTTGTGTAATTAGCTGACTGACAAAGAACATTTTATTACCAATAAATTTAACCACCTTTTTGCAAGGGAGGTAACAAGTTTTTAGTAGGATGATAAAAAAAATTGCTGTTTTACTGCTCGAACCATAAAATAGATGAGCTTAACTATGGCCTAGCTTAATATTTGTTCATCTCCTTATATATATACAGTTTTCTGTAACACTGCTTGTACTTCAACAAAAAACTAAAGCGATTAAACTACTATTTAAATTTTTCTTATAGAAAAAGTGACAATTTTGTAAAATACAACCAATATTGGTTTAATTTAATATCTTGGGAACACACTGTGGTATAAAATGTCAGTAAGTTTTTACTAATTCTATAAACTTTGTATATGTTATTAAACCTAAACTTTTATTTCTAGGCTAATGCTAATAAACTAAATTACATTAATTATATACAAAACATACACGATATGGGAGTAAATTCTACCCCCAGTATTTGTTTAAGCAGCCTCATCAAAAGATTGTGGTACATACCTAAAATAAGAGTTTATACAATTGCAGCCTATTACGGAGAATTAAAAAATTGCATAGTTTTATAAAATGGTAAGTTAAAAAAAACCAATAAAGGCTTTTCTTTTTTAAAAAGCGCAAAATTGGTTACCTCATGGCTAAATATAGCAATTATAGGAAAATTAATAATGCTAAAGCTTGATAAGTCCTTCATATAAAAAATTGGTTGGCAAGCTTTAAGTGCACTATCTCTACAGATTAATGTAACGCTCGGAGGGGTATGTGTGGTATCTTTGCGTATTTAAATCACTGTGTACCGGTAACCCGGGAACGTATAATTGAGCTTTTATTAAGAGGGCTTGAAAGATTGGAATACCGAGGTTATGATTCAGCAGGAATTGGAATTGACGGAGATTTTGATGATCAAGGAGTTCCTCAAGCTACGCTTCTTAAATCCCCTGGAAAAGTGGCCAAACTTAAAGCTTTAACTGAGGCATGCTCTCTTAACATGAACCAGATTTTTAATAGCCACCTTGGTATTGCACATACTCGTTGGGCTACACATGGGGAACCATCAGATTTAAATTCACACCCTATACCTTCAAATGAGAAATGCGAATTTTCCGTTGTTCACAATGGAATAATTACTAATTATCGTGAGCTTAAAACTTTTCTTGAATCAAAAGGGTATATATTTATTACTCAAACTGATACTGAAGTTATTGCAAAACTGTTTCAGTTTATTTATGACCTGGATAAAGCAAAAGAATTAAACTTTAGAGAGTTGTGCGAACAAGTAGTTTGCCAGCTGGATGGAGCTTTCGCGCTTGTGATAAAGAGTTTGCATTTTACCAGTGAAGTTGTTGCTGCGAGAAGAGGTTCTCCTTTACTTGTAGGCATAAAATCGTCTTCAAAGCTGAAAACTAACATTATCCCCGTTGCGGAAGGGTGTGTAATTTCTAGAGCGAACTCAAGTCGTGGATATAACACTGGCTTTAGCTCAGCTAACCTTTCAAGTTCATTTTCAGAGTTAGGAAGTTTATCCTCTTTTTCCAATTTAAATTTGTGCGAGAATGAGCATTGTGAACTTGAATTTTTTCTGGCCTCTGACGCCTCAGCGATTGTTGAGCATACCCGGAGGGTTATTTACTTAGAAGACAATGATGTGTTGCACATTGTAAATGGTCAAATAGCTATACATAGGCTAAAGCTGGCGGGTTCCAATCCTACTGATCCAGCTAAAGCCACATACCGAGAAATAGCTCATATTGAGCTTAAAATTCAAGAGCTTATGCGTGGAAATTATGACCATTACATGCAAAAGGAAATATTTGAACAGCCAGATTCTTTGTTAAATACCATGAGGGGTAGAGTAAACTTTGATAAACATTTTTGTGTTCTTGGCGGGTTAAGACAGGAAATGGAGACTATGCAACGCGCCAGACGGCTAATCTTCATCGCATGTGGTACAAGTTATCACTCCACTTTAGCGACAAGAGCATTCCTTGAGGAGATGACTAGAATTCCGGTGGATATAGAATTAGCTTCTGACTTTATGGATAGGCATACACCGATATTTAGAGATGATGTTTGCTTCTTTATTTCGCAGTCAGGGGAGACAGCTGACACCCTTAATACCTTAAGATACTGTAAAGGACGGGGTGCATTAATAGTTGGGATAGTGAACACTGTTGGTTCATCAATATCACGAGAAAGTCATTGCGGAGTTCATTTAAATGCAGGGCCTGAGATAGGGGTAGCTTCTACCAAAGCTTACACTTCTCAAATAATTGCATTGGTGATGTTTGCTTTAATGATGGCTAGTGATAAAGTCTCTATGATACAGAGATCCAAAGAAGTAATTAGTGGTCTTCAAGAGCTACCAGATAAAGTTAAGGAAGTTTTAAAAATTGACCAAGAAATTAAGCAAATTGCTAAAGAACTTATTGATGAAAAATCATTACTTGTGATGGGTAGAGGGTATCAATACGCTACTTGCTTAGAAGGTGCCTTGAAAATTAAAGAACTTACCTACATACATAGCGAAGGGATACTATCTGGAGAACTTAAACATGGGCCACTAGCTTTGATTGACGAAAATATGCCGGTTATTATGATTCTTATAAAGGACGCTACTTTTACCAAGTCGCAGAACGCTCTTGAACAAGTAAGAGCTAGACACGGAAAGCCAATTGTCATTTGTACTCCCGAATGCGAAGATATTGTGGAAAAGTACGCTTTTAAAACCATAATAGTACCATCGACTACTGATTGCCTTCAGCCCATTCTAACAATAATCCCTTTACAGTTACTCTCTTATCATTTAGCTTTAGCGAAGGGCTATAACGTTGATTTCCCCAGAAATTTAGCCAAATCCGTTACCGTGGAGTAGTTTAATAATCTATACTCAAGCCACCTTTCAAGCTAAATAATTATTTTTATATTACTTTATTTTAATATTTAAAAATAAACCTTTTAAAAAAATAACTAAATTGCTAATAACGGATGTTTGCCAAGAGTAAACCCCTCTTTGATTTTTAAAATAGCTTTTTTATATTGTTAATAGGTATTCGGTTACAGTACTTATATGAACTCATCTAATCAACTGCGATAGACTACTAACCCTGTTAAAAAGGTGTACATTGGAAAAGCGCAAGATACTGTGTTACATGTACTTGTTCAGAAGTAAAATAAAAATAGATAGAGCTGAACAATGCACATAAGTAATTAAAGACAAATGTTCAGAAAAGAGGAAGGCAAAGCACAATTGAAGTCATATGAGACAGTTTAAGAGCTAAGAGACAAGGAATTTTAAGATTCACACTGTAAAGAAAGTATAAAGGCAGGTTCTAGTAGTATATGTAATAAAACTTAATATTGGTTTCGCCGAGAGGCGCGCACGCCATATTGTACCTTTCAAACAGTGCATTTGTCGCAACTAGTACCTAAATGATAATTCAACACAGCCACCATACTCAAAACTTAGAAGGCAATGTAAATTAAAACAAGTTACCTAAATACACTAGTCAAAAAGGCTTCAATTACAAGTTAGTAAAACCTAGCATCGAAGACTATTAGACTACCGATTAATTGAGTTAACCTATTCTTATGTCAACAATGCTATTAAGGAGGATCCAATGATAAATGGTGTAATGGCAGGAGATATAAATTATTAAGATTAAAAGACCGTTTATATTACGGTGTCCATGCCCTCCGAATTCGCTGCACTCCAGCAAACCTTCCCAGTTTTTAAACCAAAATAAAGGGTATTCTCTCTAACGCTTTAACTCATGGTGCATGTGTATAAGTGCGCGACTTCAACTAGTAAGCTTTTGTATTTGCATAGTTCCAATATTAAACTCTATAGTTGTCTTAAGTTATTAAAGCGATAGCGCTAAAAATTAATTACAAACGTTTATCTTCCCCATGCCCCGGGTGCAAAGGCTGTAGTGGTTAAAAAACAAAAATATTAACTAATAAATTACTTGAGTAAAATTGCCATTATCCCTTGCACAGTAAAATATTTTATCATAGCAGAGTTGTGTCTGAAAAGAGGGAGCTAGCCGTTTCTTTTCGTAACCTTTAAAATTTAGAATGCATGGTGTATAACGCGCTCCACCATCGTCGTAGATGACTCTTCATTTCGAGTAGGGGATCCTGCATGTTGAGGTCCAGTAATTAACGCTGTAAACAGAAAAGTACCTCCAAAAAAATGTTTTTAATTCAGTTATTCATTTTGTTTTTATGGTGGAACCATATGGAGAGGAAGACGATATACTCTTGAATATAAGAATAGCCTACAAACTTAGTGCTTTTAAACTTTATAAAATTGTTCCAACTACGCTGGCCAGTTTTACCAGATTGTGTATAGCCGATGGAGCCATAAATAAAAAGTTTTGCTTGTTACACTTTATTCGAATATCATGCCGTTACTCACATGAAATTGTTGTACTTCCTTGCAGGCCCTCGAATAACAAAATACAAAAATATTTGAATACTTATTTAGTGGCCGGTCCTCTTAATTCTTACTATTTTACTTCTATAATAAAGATTTACACAAGTAATTGTAAAGTGTGGGCCTCGATTTTTTTTTTCTAATTATATTTTTGTGAGAAGTCTTGTGGATATTTGAAAAAAAAGTAGAGGAAGTGTGCTTAGTTTGCGCATTGTGAAATTCGCAATATCTCGCCAAAGAACACGGTGTAGCGAGGATGAGCTATTAGTTGCACGCGGCTGTAATTAAATGACTACTATACTTTAAAGCTTTTTCTAAACTTCGGCGTGATTCATACTTTGAATCGTACATATGTTTCCACGTTTACGAATTGTACATAGCAAGTTGTTTTCTGCGCATTTTAGAAATGAGGTGTTGGTTTAAAAGTTTATTTTGTTAAAAACTTTATTTTTTAGTAAATTTTTCCAGCATTTATTCCATTGTGAATTGTAACTTCTAAAAAATACACTTATTTGGTTAAAAAAACTTCCTAATTTTTTTTGTATAATATTTATAACTTAAGTTTATTAAGGACTTATTATATAACTTCTAGCCCCAAGTCCGAAATATTTCCCGTTTCGTGTCTAAAACGTACGATAAGAGATTGCCGGTGAACACAGTAAGTGCCTTATGTTAGCTTTTGCTCTTTTTATTCGAGTGCTCATTATTAGATAATCAATATAGTCCCGCAGCAAGAAGCTTGGGTAATAGAACGTTTAGGAAAGTATCACAAAGTCCTTGAGCCTGGTCTTTCAATTCTTATCCCCTTTATTGATCGAATTGCGTACGCGCACTCTTTGAAAGAACTAGCTCTTGATATCCCTTCTCAATCCGCCATAACTAGAGGTCTTTTATATTTCTCATTTTAATATTTTAAAGTATTATAAGCTTTTATTTACAGACAATGTTACACTCCACTTGGATGGGGTTTTGTACCTAAAGGTTTTTGATCCCCATAAGGTAAAAGCTTTTAACGATCTTCTATGAAAAAAATTCGGCCTTTTGTGTACCTCTTAGATTCAATGTTACTAATGATGATTCTTTGTTGCTATATGAATGATCGTCAGGCATCTTATGGCGTAGAAAATGCCGAATACGCCGTGACCCAACTTGCCCAAACGACGATGCGCTCGGAGATAGGCAAACTTAGTCTCGACAGCGTCTTTCATGAGCGATCGCTGCTAAACTCTACTATTGTGGAAGTAATTAATCAAGCTGCTTACGTCTGGGGAATTTCTTGTTTGCGTTATGAAATACGTACGAGGATTTTATAATTAGTAAATTCGAAATATTAATTTCTGATGCACGGCAATAGGTGACATTGATATACCCAAGACCGTCGTAGAAGGCAAGTTAATTTTTCTATATTTTTATTGCACTATAATACTTACTTTTTTCTTACCGTTCAGCCATGCAAATGCAAGTGGCAGCCGATCGCAAAAAACGGGCCGCCGTGCTTATGGCTGAAGGCGAGAAGACCTCACAGATTTTGAAATCAGAAGCAGTGAAACAGGAATCTGTAAATAAAGGTAACTTTTTTTTTCCTACTAAAAGTATGTGTCGTTGAGAAAGTCTTCGTCTTTGCAGCGGAGGGCGAAGCAGCTGCTGTTCTAGCAAAAGCGAAGGCGACGGCTGCCTCCATCGATCTGGTTATAATTATATATAAAATATCTTTGCATAAAAAAACTACCGTCTCCACACGCCTGTAGATCGCCGCCAGCATTAACCGAGAGGGAGGATCAAGCGCTGTCTCCCTCAACATCGCGGAACAATACGTTAAAGCCTTTTCAAATATCGCTAAAGAAAGCACCACAATGCTCCTCCCATCCACCGTCAGTGACTTGGCCTCTATGACCGCCTCTGCCTTATCAATTTTTAAAAAGATTTCTGCTAAAGAAGGGGGCCAGAAATAAATTTTCATTTGTTATACATATTCACTTATAATTATACTGCTGCTTCTAAATTAAAAGGAAGTTGTTACTATTTTGGCGTGCCTGTAAAGAATAATTAGCGTAGCTGTAACATCCACGTACGACATAGGTGTTAAGTTTCAATCAAAATTATTTTTTTCTTAAAGGTGTCTATACTGTAAACTTACAGCCTTTTAAATATAAAGCGAAGGGGAGTATAGGATGTGGTTAGCTTATGAATTACATTTAATCTGAAAGTTAACTAATATCGCTTTATATGCAGTAAATCCTACTAAAGCGAATTTTTTTATGGTCAGCTAAACCATTTACTTAAAGGAGTTCAAAGGAAGTTACAAATTATATAGTTCTACTGCCTGAGTTTTTAAGTTTTAAGCAGGTCTTCCGACTGTGTGCTTTCTCTTTGTCAGGATTTACTTAGTGAACTTATTTAATTTAGTTAATTCCTCGTTTAAAAAATTGCGGATGGAATGCCACACTTCGCTAAGTTGGATCGCAAGGGAATAGTCACAGATTCAATAGTTTTTTATAATTAAGAAGAAACTCAAAAAAAACATACGGATAATTAAATAATGATGGGAAATTTGATTAAATCTGAAGGCCTGTCGTATAATATATTAAAGACTATTGTCTATATTAATAAAAGTAAAGAATACTTCATGAAAATTAAAAATTCTAAATTCGGTAATATAACAAAATAAAGTTCGTTGAAGATGGAAAGGGTTTCTAAGACTAAATGCAAATGCCCGTTCTACTACAGTTAAAAAAAATGTTCGACGTCGAGCGTTTGGCACTTAAGTTCCTGGCCTCTTGGTTTTCCCAATAATAAAATATTAATTAATTCACTTTCATAATTTTTTTCAAGTAGATTTATCATATTTTATAGTGGTGTATGAAAGTTAAATTCACAATTTTTTTAGCAAAAAGTTAGGGAAACGCTCTTACTCCGCGCCTTGCGGTACTCAGGTTAAATGGTTCAAACACGACGGAACAAAGGTATTTATTTAAACCTAAAAAAAAAAATAATAAATTATATACGACTTCGGTTTTTTTTTAAATAATGTCCTCAGGTTCCGGGTCTTAAATTTGGAAGAGATACGAATCCTGGTGTTATAGTTTTACAAGGTAACTTAAATTGCTGTAAGCCATAAGAAAAAAAAAAAGC